CACGCTAAGGCGTGTCACGTGACCGCCAAGACGCCAAGAGTCACGTGATCCGAATTTCAACACTTCTCAGGCCTTTCATCGCCGCCAACATTCTCAAAACCTAGGAATTTCGTGTATACGGCACGCTGCAGTCCCAATACCTCCTCAGTAGCTCCAGCGTTTTGGAGTGCGCGGAGCGGAACTCGATCTGGATGAAAGAATGAGTTAGAACACTTGAAAATATAGGTTGTGATGTGGGGCAAATTACCGAATCATACCCCGAAAGTACGAAACCTTACCGAATCATACCCCTACACCAAATCACACTCAAATATGGGGTATGATTCGGTAATTTGCTATTGCTTGGGGTATGATTTGATAATTTATCAAAGTGGCCTCAAACTACGAAGGAGATAATCTGCGATCTGGCTTATTCGATCATAGAAATAAGGGAGTTTCTCCGACCGCATTGATAAGAATTCTATTAGACGAAAGCCGAGTGGGCGAAATTTCGACTAACCCGAGTCACCGCTTGTTGAAATTCGGGTCACGTGACTCTTGGCGGTCACGTGACATGGTCACGTGACACGCCTTAGCGTGTCACGTATCTAGTCGCTCTTTCCTTCCATAGAACTCTATAGTTAATACAACTAAGTGTCCTACCTTCATATTTTGATAATCTTAACGGTTTCCGCAGGGTCTGAAGAGTGTGCGTATACCTATGAGCACGCATTTGTATGGGCCTAAGCGTGCCTTAGCTCAGTGAGCTCGAAAGCATCTATCGCATTGGGCGCTCGAGCAGCGCTTATTCTACTAGGCTGGCACTTGCATGTATAAAGATGAGCAGCCTTTAAATTCTTCTTCGTTTGCTGTTGGTATATAACAAAGTGCTCTGTGTCCTATTCTCGATGACTCTTGGCAAGGTCCACCGCGTTTGCGTGGATTACATGGCGCGACGCTGTTTCCAGCCCTCTCTGCTTTCGCATATTGCACAGCTACTTATTACATATGTAGAATTCCGTGCTCCGTATCCCCAGGTAAAGTACCCCCAGCGCCAATCGCAACCCTGCCGAAACTGAGCCGCTTCCCTTTATGACTCAACAGAAGCTCTTCACATGAGCATGAGACAAGAAACAGCATATTATGTCAAATCTCCCGCAGACGAAATCAGCCTCAGCCTGAAGTGAAATCATACCATTCCAAGTTCTGATCCTCCCACACATCACGGACGATCACGGACGATTATCCCGAGTGCTTTTCGATAGGCAATGCCGTTCTCCCACTCAATCCACATCACATTATTAAACTCATATAGATCCTTAGCAGCGAGCCGCTCCTCAAACAGCCACTCATCCAAACCTGACTCCTCCTTTGGCGATTCGTCTGCACAGTCTCTGAACATTGCAATAGATCCCCGGAGGCATGACTTAATGACAGTACCGACTCCTTCGTGTCGAGCGGAAGCTCGCGTCGCCATTCGCATCGCAAATGGGAACACAGAGTTACGAGGCTTCCCGGACCCTGCATTCCATGCTGGAACCAGGCTCGGCATGTGCGAGTGAAAAGCAATAGCGCCGGATGCTTTATGACTCGTTCTGCACGTTGGTCTCGAACTAGTATAGAATACCAAGCCTGCGTCTGAAGAGATAGCGTGTGGGTGTAATAACATGAAATATCTTATAAGCTGCAAAGTAGTCTTCGAATTCACGATGCTTGTCTGGATAGTTTGCGTAACGAGACCAGCCGTCCGGCATCGGTCCTTCTGAATTTTCAATGCAGCTCTGATATGCCAGGCAATCACTAGATATAGATCTTCGTTCCGAACAAGTGTCATCACTACTGTACCATCGGATCGTAGGTATCCTTTTCTGTAAGACCCTTCTCTGTAACGTGCGACGACCATCAGTCTGTGAACTCTCTTTGATACAGTGACAGCCGCTTTGTCAGCTCCATGGATCCATTTCACCTGTCAGCCCGCGCGAAACCAACTTGACAAGCAGCTTTTTGTCGAGCGTGCTCCGAAAGAGAGCCGTCTTTCATGGTTTTGCATGTTGCCAGAGAAGCGCGACGTCAAAGGAGATCTCTGGCAGTCTACAGAAGAATCCGCCATCATCAAGTCGGGACAGCTCGGTGGTTACCCCAGTGAACGCTGCTGTAGCACGTTCTGGTTGGATAAGGCCTTCGTTGTTGTAAGCTCTAACTAGGTCGCAGTACCCCCTTAGATTAAGAAGGAAACGGCGAGCTGAGACCGTTTGCTTGTGATGTACGCTGAATGCGTCTTAGTGAAACATATGTTAATGAGCCTGTTGAAATTCGGGTCACGTGACTCTTGGCGTCTTGGCGGTCACGTGACTACGTCACGTGACACGCCTTAGCGCGCCCGTGTCAAGTCGCTCTTTCCTTCCATAGAACTCCATAGTTAATACAACTAAGTGTCCTACCTTCATATTCTGATACATTTACCGTAGTGTATCATCTGTGAAGATCTGCGGAGATGTATCATCTGGCTTTTTTCAATAGAGATAAATGGACACGTTTAGGATTCTCATGATCGCTGAGACGGCCTATCAGAGCATTCCTATCAATGTCGAGCGTGGGCGAGACACTCTCCAGTAATGATTCCCGCAACGGTGCTAGATTCGATAGAAGCGCTTTGGCGGATAGGCAATTGCAGAAAGAGAAGAATTCGAAGGCACACATGGCAGGCTGAGGAGCTTTTTTTGGGAGGTTGAGGATTAGCGAGGGCCAAGCATATGGTGGTTCATGGAATATAATAAGGCGCCGGATTCGTGAAACACTACGCGCTTCACCGGGATCGTCTCCAGTGACATCAGAAACTTCAAGCCAATTTATCTGATTACTACGAAAGTCCCCTGATGCCTCGCAGCCAGTGCTGAGCGTAGCGCAGGCACCACACGAGACTGAAGCCTGCTGCTCAGATAGTAACTAACAGCGGCCCTCTGCCACTCGAAGAGACGCTACCGCAAAATGGTCGGCACGATTTGGAAAAGTCTTCGTGTGGCAGATACGATCGTTGAGTCTTTACAATATTTGCTTTAACTCTAAGATCTATCTCAATAGACAATTCTCTAGCGGCTCTCGGGCCCTCAACGCTCTCCACTTCATTATGATACACTCAGTCTGGATCACGCGTTCCTAATCATACCCTCAAGCACCAAGAACAATGGTTTTGAAATCATTAACCCTTTCAGACGCCAGTGCGCGGACAGCAACATATCGCGGACACCGTTGATGAACTTGTGTCTGATACCGAACGCTTAATTAAGTGTCGAAGATAGTTTCGAGTGCTTTTCATTAATGGTAATCAGTTGATGCATGACGGACTGCTGCGAATAATCGCATTCATGAGAAGTGGTAATTGAAGAGAACATGGCACTCATCAGCGGCGCGGGCAACATTCTGTAAACGTTTCAAACACTACAGTCATATAGGTCATTTGAATGATAATCTTTAGTATTCGAGGCTATACATGCGCTCAAAGATGAGCGGATTGAAAACCTTACCATGGTCTGCGATTGCTTCTGAATGCGCCACGCTTGTGGTATGTCCGACAATACCAAATCACGGACTGCATCTATCGGCCTGACTTTGTGCCCTGGGAGTGTGCGAGTTGTGTGAGGTTTAAAAAGAATGCTACTCGACCCAAAGAAGGCAATCAATTCTTACGTAGCACATCTACTACATACCGACAATTTCGATACACTCGGAGCCCGACCTGTCCGCACCTACCACTACATGGCGAACATTGACACCGTTCATCTTGGCTACGATCCGGCACTAGCGCGATCTGTAGCAGTGGAAGCGCGGCGAGCTCGGTGACTTGAGCGTGGCGCTCGTGCTGAAGGACTTGACCATTTTTGGCTGTGTGCAGGAAGCAGGGCATTGACATTTACAGTTCGTTGCTCGGTCGATTCATCCTGTGATGCATGATCGGAGATGGCAGTCCCGAAGCGCCTTTGTCTATCTTTGCCAGCGTGGACGGTTCCAGAGTTCAAGAAAAGGAATTGAGACGTGCGGTCGTTGACACCTTATCAGCAGAGCTTGGCTTGCTTACTCACAATAATTTTTATCGTGATACATACATTCGAAGAGAAGCAATAGGTTGAAGAAGAAGAGAAAAATATCTTAGGTGGGAGAAAATAGCGCCGCACCGGGCGGCAGCGTATGTACAAAAGCCAGACAAATGTACAAAGAAGGTTACGGATCACAGACCCGCAGACCCAAAGGAAAGAACCCAACACCCTGCCATATGTTGCAGTTTGTCGAACTTTTAGTCATCGAAGATATGGCTCTTAGCAAGAGCCTGCACTGCTCGTGCGATTGTAGTACATCTCAATCTTTGAGATTTCCATGATGTTGTCTTGCAGTGGGGGAGCGCCTGTCCAACCCGGATCTCCATTACTGCAACACGAGGAAATTAGCTCTGGCCCTAGATTCGAAGGGAAAAAAATGAGGGGTAGTGTAGAGACTGGATGGCTTACCTCCAATTGTTCCACAGCCAGCTCCCGGCAGTGGATGGGACATTGTCCGTCAGTGTTTGCTGCAGCTCGCCATTCAGATAGAAATCCGTACGACCAGGGAGCCAATCAATTCTGTACTCTTGAAAGTCATTTGTTGCGTCCGATGGAAGAGCCATTTGAATCGTGCTAGCTTCGGCGTCGGCGTTGGCTCTCTGATTCGTGTAATGCACGCCCTTCCATGTATCGCCGGTGATGAGCTCGATGTCCACTTCTTGATTGTCGTCCTTGTAGAAGAAGGCGCCGTGACATGTGCCAGCGACTGTGCTGGCCTTCATCGTAGTGCGTACGCTACCGTAGAGAATATCTTCATCTTGAGTCGAGACCTCGGCGCCGAGAATGGGAGATGCGCTCTGGCCTCCGGGTACTTTGAGTTGGAGAGTTTCACTGTTGACAGCTACATTGGACGTGGTGTAAAGCTGGGTGTAAGGCGATGATCCGATGGTGTAGGTGCTAATAGCTAGATCATCTGTTGGAAAAGATGCTAAGGTGGAGAAGTCAAAGGTCTGCGAGTGCGTAAAGCTGCCTGCGCCATCTACTACCCACATGCATCCCTCTTTGCTGGGTGCTAGTGAGGTCCCTGGCACTGCTGGCCCGTTTGTCTGGGGCTGCGGAGTTGCAGAAACTTGCGGAGTGGCAGAGGGTTGCGGAGATGCAGAAACAGGAGCAGAGGAAGCACAGCTTCCAAAGGCCGACTGACATCCGGTTGCGCAATATGCCTCTGAGTTTCCTGTGAAAGTTCAGCAAAATTTTTAATGACCGCAGATGCGGAACGGAAGACTTACCACACCATCCGGAAGCCGAGCAGCAACTTCCCCCATACGGATCGTTGGGGTTACAGATATAGCCATTAGCAGCTCCGCAGGTGTTGTCTGGTGTCAGGGTTCTCTTTTGTGTGCTGAAATGAGTGTGAGGCAGGTGCGCCGGTATTGCGGACACGGCGGAAAGCAGGAACAAGGTGATGCTGAGCATGTACATGATGAAAAGACTGTGGTGGTGTTTGAATGATCAAAGTCGACGTGCCTGCATCTGATCCTTTGTAAATGAGAGTGAGACAATGAAACAAAGAAGAAAAGGTTGTGTTGTGGTTGGGAAGGAGACAATGAACTGAGGCCGGAGACGGTGAATGTGCTTTATCTTGTTGGCCCTCTACGTGAGAGTGAGACACGGACGAAGCTAAGGAAATTTTGGAAATCTCTGTGTCAAAGCCATGAGGCAGCGCAAATGATTGGGAAGCGCAGCCAGCAAATGAAAGGATTATATGCAACAGAGATTTGAAGGAGTGGAAGAGTGAAAGATGTGAAAAAGGAACATGGGTCATGATTGGATATAATTGAATCTGTGAGTCGGTGAGAGCTTGTGGCGGCGATGAGAGTTTAATTGGATCAAGCAGGTCGAGATTTGGCACAAGCATGAAATAGGGGGTTACATAGGGGGCCAAACAGGGTGGGACACATAGGGGGCGGAAGTGGCGTTTCCCATCCCAGTTCCCCCGCACTAGATCCCTGTCACTGCTTTACCTTGAAATTGAGTGGAGGAAAGGGCCGCGGCACGACCCCTGAGACCCGTCAGCCTCAAACTCTATTTCCCCTAATGCCCCTCTAATATTTCAAGGAACGAATCAGAAGAGTCGTTCGCCACGACTCCTGCATCTCCGCAATTATCCGCCATCCGCCATCCGCCATTCAACAATCATGAAACAAAGACTCCGTCAATTAAAACCCGTATTGACACAAGTCTTCTCAATTAAAACCCGTATTCACACAAGTCTTGTCAAATTGAGCTCCAAGCGGCGCAATCATCGCCGCTCCAAATTGAGTTTCCCGCTTAAGATTCGGTAAATACATGTACCCTCCAACCATAACAAAACAAGGCTTGATCAAAGCGCATTTACATAAAGAATCAGGAAATTGGATATCTTATCACCGCAACTGTTAGCGCAAATCACTGGGATTGCATTGTCCACATAGTTCAACTTTTGGGACTTCATCCTCGTGTCAATGCATCGTACGTGCGTTACAATCCTTGCGTCTACCAATTTACCATGCGGAAATCGGTACAGGTGATGCTTGAGGGTATCCGTAGAGCCGCCTGTCATCATTACCTTGGTGGCCAAGTACATCTGGCTCGTACGTCCATACACAATACACGAATCCGCCGCGCTGGGAAAGCAAATTCATCGGGCATTCGCAGAGTAATGGACAGCATGTAACGTATCCATTGCGCAGTCTGGGATGGATAACTTGGAGATTATGCACGGAAGCCGCCTCACCCGGGTGCGCTATCCGACACGAGGTCAACCACCCGCAAAATGAATGCTGCCAAGGAACAAATGTTGTGAGTATTGGGTTAGTCGCTTTACCGGTGTACAGACTGCCGTCGCACTGATGAACGAATCAAGAGTGTGGTTCTAACAGTCTGCGAAGCGTTGTCGCCCTGGTATCTTAATTTTTTAACAGCGCGGTAGTAATTCTTCGCGTCAACCTACATGCAAACACTTAGGTGAATGGATCTGAGCATCATTACCTTATTTTGTATGTTGGGAGAGCCAGCCCAGAGTCTAGATGTGTGGGTGTCGTCTTGTCCGGTTTGATGACAAGGACCCTTCAGTGCAGAGTGCAACAGATAGCTTCACCTTGCCTGGGAAAGAGAAAGGAACTAAGGAGAGATCTCGTGCCTTCCGAAAATTATGGCGGGCTTGCAGTTCCATTGGCTTCCCATCTAAAAGTACGACCGGTCCGAAGTTAGGCAGTGGCGAGTCTGGCAACACTATAATGGCCGCGTGACAGGGACTGCTCCGCTGTCAACACAAACTTCGCTTCAGCCTCGGCACCGCAAACACAAGCGTGGCATTCACTATAGAATATCCCCCATTATTTCATCTCCCGTATTCATCGTGCTCTGTTATCCTGCTCACCATGCCTCGACCCACCATGATCAGACAACGGAATCCAAACGGCAGGTTCCCGAGCAGCCACGCAGTTGTCACAGCAGCACTGACGCAATCTCCATTCCCCTTCCTCAGCCTACCAATAGAGCTACGTCTCACTGTTTACGCGTACGTCTTCAGCAATCGCCGGAAACGCACACTTCGCCGCCTTGAAGACCTCACGAACCAAAGACAGCCATCCGAAATCCAGAAAATCAAGCTTTTCAGCACTGCTATCCTCACAACTTGCAAGACGATCTGCGCGGAAGCACTGCCAGCATTCTATACCAGCCAGACCTTTCACTACTCCGCCGAGCGCGATGGTCTTTTCCGCCAACCTACCATCCCGGCCCAATGCATGAAGTGGGTGAAATACCTCAGCCTCGATATCACCACGGAAGCCGGCAATGGAGTCGATGGCATCCTCGCCACACACGTACGGAACATTGTCACGCACTGCATCAAACTGGTCAGCTTTACATTGCACATACCCGTACTTGCCTACAAGACGACTATTCCGTTGAGCCAGCTGCAGTCCAAATTGACGCAAAAGTCCGCGACGGCAAAGGCGCTGCGCGCCTTACGCGCTCGCGTCGACAGGCTCAGCATCGTCACTCTCAATCCGCCCAACGGTCTTCTCGGTCTTCGACGAGGCATCGTGAACGTCGACAGCGCCTGGGTCACCGAGACATTTTCCGAATGGCCGCGGATGAAACTCCCGAGGCGGCTGCAGGGGGCCAACGCAAAGCCGGGGACCGTCCCGTTTGGGCTTCGAAGGCATTCTCTTGCCGGTTTCTATTTCTCGGAAGCGGATCACATCTCGGCGTTTCATATCTATGGGCCTCATGTTACTCGGAGGTTGGAAGAGGGCGGCTCGCTAGGGGAAGGGGATTGGCTTTTCAAGTGAAAGGAGCGGCAGGGAGGAGATCTGGGAGTCAAGACAGCCGGGTCTCAAGCATCCCTTACTATACAGGGATGAACCCGAGACGTGTACGGTACTTCATTTCGATTTGCAGGCTTGCTTCAAAACAACATTCTTTGAGTTTGCATGGCATTGTGCTTGGAAAACTCACCTGTCAATGATATGTGCTAGAAGATGCAAAATTTGCGAGGAATGACTCCAGAAGCTTACAGACGGCTAGTGTCACACCTGAGCCCTCTCACCCATCATCATCTCGTTATATACATCTTCTTATGAAATATGCGATCGAACCTAACTCAATTAGAGGCTACTCCGAAGGTATACATCTATCTACCTCCCCTTACATCCCCAAGAATCTCACCATCAGGCCGTCTTACCAACATTCTCCCGTCGATCCAGAACACATATCCGCAAAGCCGGCCACAAGCAAAACATTCTAATCTTCTGACCCGCAGCACGATCATCAGCTCTTTCCTCCACACCCACCCTCTGATACTCGTCAATGCTAATACCAGGCCACTCGTCCAGTTCGCGGACCAACCAGCCCTCACCCGGTGCAATCGCCCTTCCAAGATCCATCAGGGCGCGACGGTTGCCGTGCGTTATGATCGTTATCCATTTCAAACAGTATGTCGGATCCTGCAGTCGAGCCGCCAGTCTCGCAAGCACCAGCGCCGCCTGGCCGCCGGCCCGTAAGCCTCGGTGCGAGTCTTCGTTCCGGAAAACGGTCAGGAGATGCAGCGTGAAGGTCCGCAGGTTGGCACAGCCGTCGATAACGGATCGGACGCGCGTGGATACGAGTCGGTCGACTTCGCTGATGTCTGGTGCCGATGTATGCAGCATGTAGTCGATGCTGACGTGCTGCATGAAGTGGAGATGCGTCGTGAAGTGGCGAAGGACACCTTGGACTGACGGCGCGGTGGGGAGGATGGTGTGGTGGAATTGGTTCGTATCGTAAAAGACTGGCAGAGCTTCCGTAGACACCTTCTTCGATACCATAAGCATGCCGGTGTTTCGGATCCTGGGGCTGTCTGACGGTCGTACGCGCTGTCCATGTCGATTTTTGCGCACTTGGAGGTCCATGAGGGAGCGGAGTGTGACGTCCTTGGGCCCGGAGAGGGCGTACTCGTACACCCGGAGTCGCAATTCTGTGGGCAGGTCCACGAATCTGAATGGCTGGACGGGAAGAGGCGGGAGGGGTATGGCTGTAGCGCTTTGGGAAGCCATTCTCATTAACGTGGAACAGTGTGGAATCGATTACTTGATGTCGCAGGTGTGAAGCCTTAGTGGACGCAAAGCAGAAATTGTAGGAGATGCCGACACATACGAAGTGTCAAACCCGACGAATTCACGCGGATTGCTGCCAACTATCCTCCGAGCCTTCCGACCGGAAATAGACCACTGTGTTGTCAGACATCGATGGGCCTCAGTTTCAAGAAAAGGTTGCACAAAGCCAAAACGCGATCATGACTGGCAGTACTACAAATCTACTTGGCAGACCACGAGTGAAAACCGTAAAACTTGACAATCGACCAAACCAATATCGAGCCATACGATCCCGCAGTATTCTAGTGCGCATTTCCTAATAACATGGTCTGGTGGAAGGTACACAGTTTCTTGGTGGCGTCTAGCTGGCTAATAAGGTAGGTATGACACAGACATGGAGAAAAGTGGCAACCACATGCCTAGAACGAAAAGGAAAGCACTAGGCACGTTTCTCACAGCCCTCTTGAAGCGCGTCCATGAATGTCCAGCCAATGGCCATGGAAAGTACGACCGTTTCTCGCTTTCCATTGGTTTCCACGGGCAGAGACTAGATAGTTGAATGTCCCGTAGCTCTACAAACCTAGAATACTCTTCCATTCGTGGAATCTCACTCCGGCTGCAGCGTTGCAATCTGAACACATATACAATCCCTTCGAGTCACATAGTCTCCAAAGCAGGACTTGTCTGTGACAGCCCGAATGGTTTCGAGCTGCGCAACAGGTACCGTGAGAAGAGGCCAGCGAAGCGGCCATTGACGCGATCTCCCAATTTTCCACCCCTGGAGCGGTGCGATTAGTTCGCACATTGTCTGCATAGATTTGGTCGTAGTCGGTGCGATGATCGACAGACGTCCAAGGCTTGGTGCAAGCTTTGCTAGTGCCTTGCAACTGTCGTGAGAACTTCGAAGAAGAAGTTTATCCGTGCCGCTTGTCGCGATGATATGTAAAGTTAGGGACTCCAGAGACATGCATCCCGTGGCGATGAGATCCACGAACGCTGCTACTTTTTGATCCACGTCGTATCTTTGTAAGTCTTCGAACATCAGCGTCTGGGGAGAGGCATCAGAGAAGTCGATGCTCAGATGGCGTATCCACTGGAACTCATCTAAGACCAGAAAGGTGGTAGTTCCTGAACTAATCGATTGGTGAAAGGCACTTGTCTGATAGAGGATTGGAGCTGCTTCTTGGAAGACCAATTGGCATGTTCTCAAGACGGGTACAGCGTCCTTATTTGAAAGCTGAACGATGAAATCTTGCTCTGTATGCGTACGGTGTGCGTGAGTTTGCCCAGGTCGAAGGAACCAACACCAGCTCGCAAAAGTCAGAATTCTCGGATAGGACCGTACTTTGTGGATGTATTCGTCATTGGTCGAGACAATTTCTGCAGCTGAGCGAAGAACCCCCAAATCCGAAAACGCGTATTTGTAGACCGTGACGCGTATTTCAGGAGGTAGCGTGAGGAAAGGAAATACCTGGTTGTCCGGCATGAGCGGTTTCGAGTCTGCCTTAATCCTAAACTTCCTTTTCCGTGGTAGTATGTGGAAAACTGGTATCTCGGACACTGATTTGCGTTGGAAAATCAGGTAGACTTGACAAAGAAGATATGGTTATATAGTATGTGGCCTTCTTAACACTGCTTAATTCGTAGGGTTGAAAGTGACATGTGTGTCACATTCTAATTTTATATCACCGCATTGTGGTAATTGTTGTCAGTCACGTGAAACAGTAAAGCGAAGAATGAAGCTTTGCAAAATATTACGCTTCACCAGTTATTAATGAACAAGGCATTAGCCCTTTCATGTTTTTGTGATCCTGTTGCATGTGTTGTCGCGACCAGCGGTCCTGTGATTGGAGACCCAGGTATTGAATATAGGGCCGTCATGCCCTTCGCTTGAAACGTTTTGTCAAACTCTTTCCCTGCCCTGAAATCCCAAGCTGTGAAATCCCGGCGAAAGCTCATCCTTCTCTCTCGACCGCTTACCTCGGCGCCATCGATCAGGTTGGTAAACACGACTCCGTTTTTGTCGTTCGAATGACAGCAATCCGAGCCTCTTGAGGTGGCCAATGACTTTCTACTCCGCATACACGCGCTCTTCCTCGTCTAGCAAGTGGATAGTCTTGGGCCATTTACATGATTTGAAAAAAAATCCCGTCCATCTCGAGACAACTTTCGCATCTTTCTGGCATGTCGCCCAGATTTCGATCCATATGTATTGCGCCTTGTGATGTCTAATCAGGCACTGTTGCCATTTGAGCGCATGATTGTTACTTGATAACCTTCGTTGCCGACAATGCTTTCGAAGCAGATCCGAGAACACTCGAGAACGCTCGAGAAAGTCTGATATTGGAAATGTTCGAAATTTTAAGCATGTTCACAAACCCGAGAGAAAGAAGCCGTAGATATTAGTTTTATGCGCTTGAGTGCAATGACGAATGATAGGAAGTACAGAAAGGCAAAAACAGGTACAAAGATGAGACAATTGGCGGTATATTCTATGGCGGTTTTTACGAGACATATGAACTAGGTTGATGAGAGTCCCGGCTCTGCAAAAGGTCATCTATAGACCGAGAAATAGATTTGGCGACCCTGGCTACCAAGAATAAGCCGTATTTGAAGGTGGAAGCTCATCAAAACGGGTTCCCAACATCTTGGGAGGATGAAAGACTAGATGCCGTGCATCTACATCTCCCCTGTGGTCTGCAGGTCCCAAAGTTAGTCCCAGCTCATCACTTAGTACTCTGAACATGCTGAGGATTCGACTTCGCATTTTAGCACGACGGCCGCTCGGTATTTCCTGCGTCGAGTCCTTGATAATAGTCTCTAGGACCACATTTCGGAATACTCTCGAACTCCGTAGGGCGGAGATGTCGTTGGCGTTTAGAAGTGCCGCTCGCCGTACGCCAAATAAAAGTATGACATGACACGTCATTCGCATTTCTCCTTGTTTGTGGCAGAAGTCAATGAGTTCGTGGGCATTGCGTGAGCAATCGTGGTCGGACAGGTCCCATTGAATTTTTATGTTCTGAATCTGATCGGCCACGTTTTCGCTTGGCTTGATGTTGCGAGAACCATCTGTGGAATTCACATACATCCTGAATATGGCCTTGGGATATAGGGACTCCAGCGCTTCCTGGCTGAGTTGACGAGAGGTTCTTAGTACTTGGAGATGACCAGAGGCGAGGAGATAGCCATAGATCTCATCACGAAGCTCTCTCGGTAGGCTGAGCAGTGGGCCTCCATTGCGATGATTCACCTCATTTGTTACTTTGCACGATGCCGTACCTTGCTGCCGGTCTTTTTCCTTTGCTATATCTTCTCTGCCTCCTTCCTCTCCCTTCAAACCAATTCTGATTTCTTGATCCATTCCATTGACCGGCGTAAGCCTTTGTTCCTAAGAACGAAAAAGGACAACTGAAGAAATGAGTCTGCTAGAGTTGTAGCTAATGTATATTCTCGTAGTAACAGCAAATTGGTGACGTGGCAAAATGCGGGTTTACCTCGGCAGAAAACAATTGGTGCTTTATGCAGAAACACCATGTTCCCTGTATTGATACTCTGTCTCGATCATTTGCGAGAGAATCGCTGCTCACTAGATACGATCTGACCCTACCATTTCAACAGCTAACACCCTATGCTTATGTCCTTACTTGTTTACCTCCACTCCTAAGACCTCGCGCGGAAAATCATTCAACCAGAGCAAGATCATGCCTAATACATTTTTGATATCTTTTCGTCACTTGGCTAGTGTATTGTGTTGACTAGATGTACATGTAGATTAAGACTACTAGACCACGTTGGGAAAAGGCTTTAAGAACAGCCTGGTTAAGTCGTTCACCAAGGCTCATTCAGTAAACCGTAGCAAGAAAGATACTCTACTGCCACATAAGAGTCCTTAGCAACTTTGGCCCAGAGCAAAGTGACAGGGTTGGCATCCCTCTTCTATGTAATAGAACGGGCGTCACTCTTAGCAACAAGGTCTGCCGCTGACCTATCAGTGAAAGGACTGTCCCGTAGTGCTTGGTTTGATTGACCGGGAATCGGCTATGGTGCATAGAGGCAGGTTGCCCCTTCAAAAAACTCCCACTACTTCGCTCATGCTCTCTTCTTTCTCTGCAAGCGTGCCCGCTTTGGCGTAAGGATCGGCCTCGTTGTCTTCCCTCGGAATCAGCCAAAATTGAACCATCACTCCTCGATCATCTTGCTTCCTCAATGCCGTAAGTAACATCTCCCACAGGTCTCTATTCTCCACCGGAGTTCGCTGAGCAGTCCGCCACCCATTCGTTTTCCATTTGGACACCCACGCCGATATCCCCTTAACCACATACTCCGAGTCGCACGCCAAAACCACCTTGTCAAAACCCTCGCCATTCCAAATCCTCAGCCCCAGTGCGACAATAGCAGCGCGTAACTCGGCACGGTTGGATGTCTCGGGACCATTGCCTTCGAGTCGCCTGCCAAAGTTGTTACGAGCGCTCAGCTTGACTCCGTAACCCGCACGAGCCTGTGGTGTCCCGTTGTTCGAACAGGCGCCATCAATGAAGATGAGCATCTCGCGGGAATTGTCGTTGCGGATAAAACGAAGGCCAGGAAGGGTACAGGCGTTGATGGAGTCATGGTAGAGGTCCTCAGGCTTGGCTGTTGGCGAGCTGGGGTAGAAGCGGCGAAGACCGTCGGCACGATCGTGAGGGATAGGAGGGAGACCAAAAAGTGGATTGACCGTCATCTTGCCTGCTTGAACTGGGATTTTCAAACGTGGGTTGACTCGTCGAGGCTTGGTAAGAGGATGTCAGATAATGGACGTAGTATCGGACTGATATGTGGTGGTGTTACAACGAGAAGAGAATATCAACTTATGAAGATCTATTTATGCTGTGAAGCCCACAGACATAGGCACTGCCAAGACACACGACCTAGTTGGGATACGTGTATTGGTCTCGAGAAGGGCGATTTGGCGTTACTACTCGACAAGTTAGACTCCTACTTTATATCTTGTGTATTGCAGACGGAGGGAAAGACCAGGCCACATCATTTTCATTGACTGGGTAAAATGTCTATGAGTACTTTATGTTTTAGCGTGGCTGGAAAAGATGAAGGAGGCGCTGGTGCCTTTAAGGAGGCGCGAGAAAAGGCCGACATGCCGACGTGCTTACTCTAAGGCTGAGATGACTAATGCATACAGTACCAGTAAGCTACTCACGCGTCGAGCGCGCGTCTGACGATACCAGATACCATCAAGCAATGCCATTTGAAGGCAACTGAACCTGTCGTATCAGCATCATGTCTCGGCGCTCCAAGCACAAGATTCTACCAATGGCTGCGTCCAAAGCCGCACCCAAAGCTACGCGTAAAGCTACACGTAAAGCTACACGTAAAGCTACCCGCAAAGCTGCCTCCACAGCTACTTCCACAGTTGCTTCCAAGACTGCTTCCAGAGCTGCCTGCCATTTCCTTCGTATCCCAATCGGTGAGAGACTTCTAGCCTTGATACCCTCACCGCTTGTAGCTGACCTTTCTCCGGCAGAGATCCGTCTCAAAATATACGGCTACCTCTTACTCGATCCTCCACGCGCATCCTTGAAGCCAAATCAGTACGAACACACATGGCAGCATCATTTCGGACCGGAGGATGAGGATATGGACTCTGGTAGCATGGGCTATGGTAGCTTCCACACAGACGTCTACGGTGATTCAGACTCTGAGGATGCCATGTTCGACTTGGACGACTTCAACCCGTACGGCATCCCCATGGGCGACATGTGCGACGGCATGTTCAATGACGTTTATAACCTTGGTGGTGCTATGAGTATGACCTTCGGGAATGACATGTTCGACTATGGGGACGATCATTCTGATGACAGGGGCTTTGATCGAATGGACGACGAAGACGAGAGCGAGAACGAAAGCGGTCCCTCGAGAGGAATGTTCGAGACAGAGCCGATGATCAAGCGACATCTAGCAATCCTTCGCACGAACCGTCAGATCTATAATGAAGCTTCCGTTTTGCTCCACTCGGATCTCACCCTCGATGTGAATCCTGGTGATGCAGTGACGGATGTTCCTGGCAACGCTGTTGTGAAACAAACCAAGAAGATCTGGCGTCATTCTCCACACATGGGTCTTGGTTTGACAGACTCCAATGGCCAGACGGTGTACAAGTCGTGCCCCTTGGACGGCTCCGTGGAACCTCACGTCTTTGCGCGGTTTGAGAGGATATCTTACAACGCCCAATTCTTCTTTGAGGGTGACGACGCTGCTCCATGCCTCTTCATTAACGACGATCTGAGTGTAAGAGCCGATGACGCAGCCAAGTTTGTCTCGTATCTGACCACAGCCAAGGGTATCACGCGATGGTTTGAGGATCCCATGTCCGGCCGCCCTTTTGACAATGGTCGTAGGGAAACACTCAAAGACGTGGCAGATATCACCATTTCCAGCGTCACTGTTACCCAACCGTCAACCGCAGAAATCATTCAAAAGTTTGTCGATCTGGTGTCAAAGTCACCACTGATCCGACACCTCGAAGTCAACCTCGATCTCGAGGTCAGGTGCGAAAACTGGATCGAGAGTCTAAAATGGGGTCCCGACACTGAACAAACCGCAAAGAATGATGAGAAGAGGGATGCTGCTAATGAGAGAGCCGCAGAGTTATTCATCGAGAGTGGTGTCCTGGATTCTTTGCGAAAACTCTCGAACGTCAAATGCTTCTCACTCAAGGTTACAACAGTCTGGATTGGAGAGACGGTCATGTTGCTGCAGCAGAAACACTTGAACATCATTCGGGATCTAAAGGACGTGATCGAGAAGAATTGGGCCGTCAAGCATGGTCCTCGCTAAGTGGATGGGCCTACAAGCAGAACTCCAGATTACCAGGGACCTGCAGACGGAGGTGTCACAGCTTTTGCTAGCAATTTGCGGATGATACGATACCCCCCGATTGCAAGTCCGATGATAGAAAAAATAGCAAAGGAATGAATGCACCTACAACAGTCCCCAACCCTAATACTAGACACTGTGACATTGTAGTCAGCCTGACAGGCTGATATCGTGCCCTAGACATCACACATAAAGCCTTCTGCTGTATGCGTCAAGCTTGGGCACTCAAGAACTCTCGCGCACTTCCAACTACTCTTCAGCAACAGAAGTAACCATGTCTAGCTCCTTTACACCACTGCCATGATTTCCTTCCAGCCTCCCATCGCCACGCATCACTATTCGACACCCTCTCCACCCCACCTCCTCAATACCCCCTCTTCCTCTTCCTCACCCTCCGTCTCATCGCAATCGCCTCCGCCGTCCACTCCTGAACAATGACTACTCACCCAACCACTTCATCCCCACCGTCACGAACTCGCCATCCTCCTAGACGCCATCTCCGAAGCGCAAACTGAAGCGCAAACTCCTCAACACTTCTCCGGCGAGCCAATACTAGGTCCTTATGTCCATCTTCCCAAGTCGAGCGAGGTTTCCTATGCGGAAGTCGTTGTTGACAGTCGGTCATCATACGATACTGTGACGTTGACGGAGATGGCGGAGCTTGTATCTGAGACTGCGGCGCGGTACGTGCACGAGATACTGCAGGGCGGCAGAGAGAATGGTGGGCTTGAGAAGACGGAGTATAGGAATTGATTGGAGATTCCGGGATGGTGGGTTTGGAAGGCGGACAAACTGGGGCGAGAACTGGGCCTGCTGGGTTGACTGGGAACGGCACTATGAGGTCGGGGTTCAAAATGGATAGGAAAGAGTCAGGCCATGGGGCTATGACCGCGAAGTGATGGATGCCGTAATGGTCTAGGAAGGGAGATTTGGAGACCAGCGCGATGGAGAAGCTCATGGGTATGGACATGATTGCGATTATGTTTGCTATAGTGAACAGGGTTTGATGTGTTCTTGACAACTATCTTTGAAGCTCATGGAAATGATCAGTGGAGGATCGCACTCTCGGGAATGAGTTGGAGGTTAGAGAGCGGTCACCTGGAGAGGGTAGTCGCAAATGAAGTCAGAGGGCAGATGGAGTTCAGATCGATGTTTGATCGCTCAGTCTAACAATCAAAGGTCTTGTCGGAACTCAATGCCTTGTAGGATCTTCCAAATCCTCCATCGATTTTTCAATCCAAGTGGTGCAGAGGCAAGTTGCTTGTTCCCTTCTTCCACTCCACCTTCGTCAGCACTCATCATGTTCGCTTTCTGAACTAATGCTTCTATGCTTTGCTCCCAGTCGTCACACCCTGTGTCGTTGCCTATTATTGCATCGACTCCTCCGGAAACAGCCAGCCAAGACGATCGGCGACTTGATCTTTGGACACTGTTTGTGCTGTAGGTGTCGATGGTAACTTGGGGAACTCGGAGAGGAGGTAGGGAGTCAGGCGCGAAGGGTCGGCGCATAACAGCAGATAATAGTAAGAATTCAGCAAGAAGGCGGTCCCTGGCCTCTGTACATTGCTCCGTATCCCATTGATCAGCCCAGAATGTTCTTGCACCGTAGTAGTTACGCAGCCATTCTATCCCGCCAGACTTGGCGTAATAGTAATCCTCACTTATTGACTTATCTGGCTCAGTAAAGTTCCTCCACCTCCGCTGACGTAAGGCATCGCAAAAAGCGTCAAGCGTTTTTGGTTCTTCCGAAGCGGAAGCTTCGTTCTGCGCTTGACGGATCTGACATAATCGTTGGAGGATATCGAGGCAGGCTTTGTGTATGGGAGAGAGCATGCCATCAGCATCGTCTACGGGCTCATACACAATTATCGTTGCTTTCTTGCCTGCTATGGTTGGGAATTGAGGCTCTCCAGCGCTCATGCCGTAATCCCAGATTGCAGGTTGGGATAGGAAGAAATTGGAGTCGGAGGTTACATTCACGAAGGTGGAGTCTCTGCTTTTGTCAGCTCTCTACGACGAAAGTAGCTTGAGAAGTCAGCTCACATTTCTCCCCATCGTCCGAGAACTCGAAAATCGGTGAAACAATGACAGTGATTCTGAATACTTGAGCGGGCCCTGCAACGACGAATGCTGTTCGCTTTGTAGGTTGAGGGCCTGTGTTAGGAATGGTGTTTGGTCATTCACTGACAGAGAATCTAGCTGAGGTACGAGTGGTACCAAAGGCATACGGTACCTAACCTTGAATCAACAGTCCTGGCCGTATTTGAAACGCGGCCCTAGCACTGCACTGCAAGCCCCCATAGATTCTTGAAAAGTTCAAAGTCTTGGACACGAAACATCACCCTTCTATAACGGTATGATGTTGTAGTCCCAAGCCTATCCATTCATTTCCAAATTCTGGAGCATTAACGGCAGAGATTGAGGGACGAGAGTGGGTCTCACACGCCAGCAGAAAACGGCCAAGCTGACTTTTGTTTCCCGCCAGAAGTATTTCCTCTGTTCATCAGCGTCTTGTATATCAACGCAAACAGCGCAGCGACATCAGTCTCTGGCTGACTAGGGAGTCTCCTCCCGTGGTAAATCAGAACCATACTCACCACGAGCGTACTCATCCTGACCATGTCTACATATGCCACTCTACGTCTCCTCTTTTTTTTTAAAGGGGGGTTTTCAGGGGGGTGTTTCTCCCTCCCTGGACTGGACGGCGCCATCGCCGGTACTGATGGAGGTGCCGATGGCGGCCGAGCTGGTGTCGAAATGTGGAGTTTCCAGCCATGTTCTTAGCCACTCTCCGCTATGACCTGTGCGTATGTCGGCTATATCACTCTATTTCTATGGGATCAAAGACATCCCCCAGAAGATTTTAGAGATAGAATCAATCATCCTTCCACATCACCGTTGTTCACATATCATCCTTTTTGACAGCTGGGCGCTGGTTTCACAACTGTAGGATCGTATGGTGGTAGGCACTGCAAGTGCAACTAGGGAAGGATTTAGGAGATAAGGGTATTTCGGTAAGGCTGAGATGACTAATCGTACGTCGTTTTTTTTTTTTTTCTTTTTTTTTTGGTTTTCCCCTTTTTCTTCCCCCCTTGGGTGACTCCAGTCGGCGCACAGTGTTTGCGGTGAAAAGGTCTTGTCTAGCTGTCAGAGCCTGACCCGGACCGTTGTATCGCCATCATGGCTGACTCTAAAATTTCCTCGGAGGCTGGGTCTCGGTTCCTTGGAGTACCTCTTGGTAAAGTGCTCATCTCGTGCCTTTGACAGTAGCTAATGCGCGACAATTCCAGAGATTCGTCGGCAAATATACCGAATTCTCCTACTCGACCCACCTGAATCTTTTTTGAGCACGCCATGCATGCCATGGTACCAGCAGGGGGTTTTCCAGGCCAAAGTCAAGAAAGATGGCACAGACAATGAAATGTGGCACGGCACCGAGTATCAGGGCAATTTCTACGAGCACAACTACAATGAATCTGACTCTGATGTGGACTTCCCATTTTGCGATAGCTCCAGTAAGACAAGGATTGCAGAAGCGCCTCGGTTGGGAGAGAGCAAGTTGCAAAATGGGCACAACAGTGTACAGAAAGACGGCGCAGATCAGGAGATGAATGTACAAAGGTTTCCGGCTATCCTACGCACGAATCGCCAAATTTACAGCGAAGCTTCGCCCTTGCTATATAGAGAACTCAACATGCGTTTGCAGCCTGGCGACGTTCTCTGCATGAAGTCCAGCAAAGATATCGTGAAGGCTTCGGAAAGAGTTTGGCGACACAATCCCCTTCAAGATACTGGGGTCCTCAAACCAAACGGCCTGACCAATTATGCGGAGCCAGAACTTGATGGCGTCATGGATCCCCATGTCTTGGCACGGTTCAAAAAGATCACCTTCGACTTGGATATTAATTGGGAGTTGGAGACGCTTGACGCTGAAACAGGTCGGCAAACAGCAGGAGATACAACTTTGCAGGACCAAACTGCGCCAAGCCTCTTCGTCAATGATAACATGACAGTGAATTCTCAAGACGAGGCCAGGCTTCTTGCCTTCTACAGGCGCTCAACCATTTTGCACCAGCTTGTCAAGATTCTATCCAACTCGCCAGACGTTGTGCGCCTTCAGATCCTGTTTGACATCGAAGTCCTCGCCCGTTACGACATGAGCTCGGACTCGGATTCCGAAGACGAGCAGGAGGACAAAGACCCCGCAAGGAAAATGATAGCAGCCAACGAACGCGCCATGGAACTCTTTCTGGACAGCGGCCTTCTCGCACCGCTTGAGAAGCTTTCGAACGTCCGATCTTTCGAATTCGAATACGCTGCTCTGAATTGCGATTGCGAGCATTACAAACCGAAACCGAAGTATGCTAGGATGTTGAGCGATCTAAAGCAGAATATCGAGCGCAATTACGCCGTCAAAAATGATTAAGTGTTGGACTTTGGAGTTGTGATGTCGTCGTGGAGAACTTTGTAATAGCAATCTTTGCGTGTCATGGCCTTCCGCTCTACTCTTGGAGTAGTTTGGTAGCTGTCTTGCGCGCTATACCACCCATTCCTGTGGTTCTTGGCAACATATGATCAATTGAACATGGTAGAGAGTTTGACAGAAGCTCGGCTTGGAACGCCAAATGTATGGGCTAGGTATTTAACTCAAACCAATTCAAGTACACAACTTGTCCTCCACGAGGCGTCGCCGGTCGTAAAGATCACCTATTATTTACCTCTAAATGAAGGCGTTATATATGTCCACCGACCTGCTTGGGTCGTAGGATGAGAAACGTGGAATTGACCTATGCTGTATCCAAATTTGAATCTTCCCCTCTCATCTTGTCATACCTCCTCATCTTTCTTCTAGCCAGTGGCTATGTTTACAAAATCTTCAGAAAAGTTGAATTTAAAGGTTACTATTTGTACGCTTTCATCGCTTTTGCAATGAAAAAGGTGTTCCACTTCTCCCCTTCGATCTGTCCAGAAGCGGCCTTTCAACAATCCCTTCCACCGACCAATTTCCCTCTCGCTGAAAACTGGTGTTCCAACCTCAAGTTGCTTTCTGAGGAGCCCTCAGCCCTGACCCATCCACCACCTACACGCAGGTCTCCACCGGCCAACACTACGTCGAGGACCTCGACAACCCCGGCAAACAGCAACGACACCCGGTATCCGGCGATCGACACGTGTTACTTCGAAATCCCGGACGACATGTGCGGCCTCGCCCTTGAGTGCGCTGCGAAAGCTGCGACGGAGAGTGGAGGGTGCTTGTCGTCGTTTCATTTTGCATTCTTTGTCGAACAATGAGAGCTGGGGGTGCGTGCAATTTGTGGATGCGAATCGTGATGGAAGTTATTCAGATGTGAGGGATCGGGATGTGGATGTTGCGTGTGGAGTTAGTGCTACTCGGTGAGATTGGAGGGGATGGAATAGGATGGGGCTGGTGGTTTGTCGGATGGGGCTTCGATGCTCGAGGTTGGGGGCTGACATGAGACTGGTTATCTGCAAAGAGTGATCACGGCTATCTATCATTCACGAGACCTGCGACCCCGAGGACGGAGGTGTCTTCGTCGTTGCTTTGTAAATTCAACTCAACTCTCGTACGCACGTGGATTGCTTGTAGACGTAGAGGTCGTTGTTACAGGTCTTCAGGTCTTGTGTTCTCTGAGCTTCTCTGATTGGCTTCCGCTTGCACTGAGAGCTCCAATGTCACCATTACCTGCTGTTCCACGCTGCTTGCTTCACCGCTGAAACTTAGCACGCCCCTCGTCTCTCCAAAAAAATTTGGTCGTGCGACAGCCCGCTGAACCATTCGATCTCGTAATCTGGACCTAAGTCGCACCACGGTCCGTGCTTGAAGATCGAGAAGGCGAAGCCAGGCGCTCCTTGAATGATCTTCTCAGCCTCGATCTCATCAGGCCCGACCCCACAATTTATGGAGACAGGAGTCCACGTCTCAATTGCTTTTCCCTCGATACGGTACTTGTAATGAAAGTCCCAACCTCCAACTTCCTTCTCATTCAAAAAACCCAATCTATATTTGATTAGCTTGTGTCTTCGGCAACCAGATTGGTCTTACAACTCACTGTCACGACGCGTCTGACTCTCTTGATGGCGAAGTCCATGCCGCTGCCTATGCGGCCTCCCTAAATGTAATGGACGTTGGGGCGATCCAGATCGAGGAAGGCGGTCAAAGCTTCTGCCATGGATTTGAAGAGGATAGTGAACACAAGATCAGCGATAGTGAGATCTTCGTTGGTGAAGTCTTCCTTTATGCTATCCGGATCGACGCGATGAAGATGCCCGACAGGAGCGTCAATAGGTAATTGCGCGTAATCACCGAGGTAGGTGAGCTTGGGATTGTATTGGTCGTCTTCTTCCATGCTGCTGGATACGGATGGTAGGAGTCAGTAGTGAGTGCATTCTTGGGAGATGTGAGGGGTAAGGATGCATTGGTGTGCACTGACTTTGTTTTGATCTCTTCGCAGTGTGTACCGTGTGTCTTATTGGAGTTGAGATGTCTAGTTATTGAGGTGACGTACTGAGGTGGCGGGTGTCTTGAGGCGGAGGAGGTGGGGTGGAGAAGGTCCTGAGAGTCTCGAGAGCCTTGAGGTGGGAGACGAAGAGAAATCGAAATAAGAAAAAGCTAAGACGTGGTGTAGTAGTCCACGAAGTGAAGTGAAGTGAGTTTTCGAGCTCTTCATTCTATAACGAAGTGACCAGGTCTTGTAAAGGAGTGACAGCCCGTCAGGTCTAATCACTCTACCAGACCCTCTTAATCGTAAGGTAGGCACAGGCGATCATATCCGCTCTGTTTCACATCATGCTATTTGCGAGTCGGCAGGCAGCTGCATACGGCCTTCCTACCAAGAAGTTTGCTCTAATGGATCATTCTCCCACTGACCCTACCTCCCTCCATTTAGACGGTCTGATTTGCGCTATCTGATTTCTGTGCCTCGAATGCTTGTACAGACGGAAAGACTCGCAGTTTTGAGGTCTGGTCTTTCAGCACACCCATACTTACAAGCGATTTCTGCCATTGAAATCTTCGTCTTTTTGACAGCGATTCTACTTCAGGGTTCAGGACTGGTGCATATAGTGTTCCATTGTATAACATCCCCGGGGAGCGTCGCGCTGTGGTTCCAGCGTGGTGCATAACTCCCGGGGCAGCCGATTAAAATTAACGAACCTCAAAGTACTGTACATGGTGACCATAAGCCCGGCCCTTCTATGCAAACACGAAAACGATATGAGCAAGGTCGCGAATGAGGCTGTCAGTCTCGGTGAACAATGTAGGGCGACGGTATTCTGTTCAGGTCCATCGTCTCGGCCTGCTGCTGCTCTTCTCGTTTAATTCGCTTCGCAGACCTTCCTGGGTCATCAGATGCGCCGTTCGTGAGCGAATCTAGAGCCCGCTTCTCCTTCTTCTTCTTCTTCGTGGGTCCTCTCTTGATATTGCGACGTTTTGCTTTCAAAGCAACTTCTAGTCCCTGTATCAATTGATGGAGACAAGGAATCTCGGTCAGTAATTTCCGTGTATCTTGTTGAAGGCTCCAAATAGGCTCTGAACTTTGAGTCAGAGCGTCGTTGCTGAACGACGTGTGTTCTGGTAAGACAAGAGCAGGCACTGCCGTCTCGGGCTGCGTCATCGATTGAAAATTTCTGGATGATACCGTGCTGAATCGAATACTGTTATTTTCTGCTTTCGTTACCGGACAATCCGGGTTGTCTGATGCATGGGGACCAGCACACAATGCACATCTTTCTTCCCGAGATATGCAGCAATTCTCGGTTCGGTGTGCGTCAGAACATCTTCCACAGCGAAGAGGACCGCAGTGAGGTCCCGGTTTGTGGCCGAACGCTTGACAATGTTTGCATCGCGCAAGGAAACGGTGTTTCTCAACCGTTTCGCAGTCATAACGATTCCCCTTGTAGTAGAGGCCTCGCCATAGTGCTGCATTAGCTTGTTCAATGTCAAAGAAATCTACCGCTAGCACTTCGTTACCTTTCCCCGGACTGCGAATGTAGTAGACGTCTTTTATGTGATGGATTCGCAGTGAAATTAGCGTGGTGGTATTGATGCGGACCAGTTCGCTGATCAGTGCAGCCTTTTCCTTACGAGAGCCAAGGTCCCCACTTAGAGAGCTGTCCTTCTTGACTCCTTTCATATGAACTCGGTAGCACCGGTGACTCCCAAAATTCATTCCAATGCCGTGGTCGATAATGTCTCTGTCCCAGTTCGACATTTGGATCAATAGGAGAAGGTCGTTCCATTTCTCGTTATTCGTGACAGCGGAGATGTCGCCGCTACTCGACAGGCTGACATCCGAAAGGTATGATGCGCCCTCGAAACTCCGCGTATGAGTTTGCTTTTTCCTGATTGCACCGCATACAGCTTCCCGCATTTGCCACGGATTCATATCGTACAGTGCATTGACGATCGCTTGGCTCGTGACCCTGAAGGTGACTGGGAACTTATGTTTCAGTGGCCCGTAATGGTAGGGTGCTTTCTCTGGATCGTATACATCATTGTTGAGGGCTGGTTCTCGCGGCTTTTTTGCATTGTTCACCTCCCCTGTATTGCCCTTCCATTCCTCCCCTTCCGCTTCATCCTTTCCCTTCTCCACCTCCTTCGCCTCATCTGCTCCCTTCCTTCCATCCTTATCCAGGCTATCGTCCTGGGTAGCGTCTTTTGCGAAGGTTTTCACCTGTTCTTCTTGCGTAGAGACAGTTCGAGCATCGTTGTCCTCCATATTAGGTACTTCTTGTGCTACGGCACTGGGAGGGAGTCCTAGCTGTTGAGCGTTTCTTCCTTCTGAGGCACGTTTCATTCGAAGGAGTTTTTGCGCCGTAGTAAACTCGAGTACCTTAGGGAGGAGGGAGCTGTAGGACTCGGCAAGGCCGCTGTATACATCAAGAGGAACTCTGTCACGAGCTTTTGCAGCTGCTTGAGTCGTTATGTGCTTGAGTAGGATGTTGCAGAGAAGCTCCCTATCGCTTTCCGAAGTCAGACTAAGGCAGTATCCAACAGAGGAAGCTTCGGCAAGGCCTTGTGATATGCCCTTGGTGATCAAATAGGCAAGCGTAGTAGGAAGTTGCTGGGAGTGGCTCTTGCTGTAGGACTCGTTAACGGCTTTAAAGTCGGCTCCAAGTGCGAGTAAGTGTTCTTCTGCATCCTTAGAGCGATGTTGACTTATTCTTGGCCGACTTCTTGCAGGCATGGCGGGAACAATCCAAGTCAGTGAGGTCGAAGAACATCGAGAGAGATGCTGATTGGGTGAGCCGCGTGAACATTTTGTTGTTCTCGTACTCGTACTGGGCAGCGGGTCAGGATTGACACGCTAATTCGCGTCAACTGACTCGCACGCCTGTCAAGTGCCCACGTACGAGTACACATTTCAATGTTGTATCATCTGAACTTTGTTCCAATCTCTACTTCTTGGAACACCATGCAGCGTCCCAAATGGAAATGGCCCAAAAAAAACCCTGCAGACATAGTTGAACACGCAGCCTTGCTCGGCACCGACTTCAAGGCTGTTCAGGCGGCGTGCCTGATGTTGCGCCTGGTCTACCCAAGGGAACAGAGCACAAGATCACGAAGGCATAGAGAAGGGTCTGGTCGAGGTCGAGAGCCGCGCTTACAGTACTTCCAGTATATCCGTAGAGGAACGAGACCTCATAAGCCACACGGTTCTCGCAGAAATCACTGCCGAGACTGCCGCTACCTTCCACAACAGAGTCCCTCAATATCTCTTCAAGGTACTCCAGGACTCATACAGCGAACTCAACCTCAAGCTTGTCATCCAGCAGAATGCTGTTTCACAACAGGGGGCCAGAATGGCGGGAACAGCTTTTGGAAACGAGGTCCTGCCTCACACCCCACCCGATTCGCCACTAGAAGAAACCGACTGCGATGTGTCGTTCTACTATGGACCTGACACAGAGGCTGTCGCCGAAGACGATTGGTGCAAGGATACGAACAGAGTAGAGAATTGGGGCCAGCAAGCTCAAGGCTCAATTGCTAGAGGTGGAACGTGAGCGGAATGCTGTGAGCCAAAGGCTTAGAGAAAACGCTAGCAAAATTAAGGAAGAGATGCAAGGAGTGGCGCTTGAGGGAAGAGCCGTGGACAAAGGACGCACCGATATTCTAGGGGCGATGCAAAAGAGACGGCTGGTGCAAGACAGGACAGGAGACTACGGACCAGAGGCTGTGGGCTACAATGTTTGCGAAGACCCAGATTCATATGTTGCAAAGAAGATCATATCGCGCGCGCCGTCCTGAAAATCGAAAATCAGGCAACATGCCTGCCGAAGTTTTGATGCGAAAGGTCAAGGGAGCTGTCATGCAAAAGAACAAACCCGTAGAGGATAAAACATTCTCCAGCATCACACGTTTTCTTGCTGCCGAGCTATTGGATGATGGCAACGTTGCACTATGGGCAAACGGAAACGACGAACACGATTGGCAGAAGTCTGAAAGGGACGCTTTTGAGAGTTTGGAGGAGCTGCCATTTTGGAACCAGGATATAGCTGCAGGCTTTGCAAACCACGTCACGGGACCATATAAGACCTATGCGGTCGAAGTGAAGAGCATCACAGTGGAGATGATTGGTCTTGGGTATCGGAAGCGAAAGGCAGTAGTGATTATGAAGTTGGTTCAAGGCAATGTCATGGCAATTCCTTCCTTACACATTGATAACGTCAAGGACATTAGCTTCTCCTGCCGGACGACGGACGACGAACGACGATATTTAAGCGCTCGTGCTTGACCTCCCGCATCCCGTAACGGCTAACGAGGTCATTATCTATGGTCTCCAATGGCAAGGAGAAAAGCATGCTCTGATGTTAGAAACCAACGACTTCGAGCACGCTCAAGAGTCCAGAGTTAAAAAGAGGAAGAGGTTGATGCCTCCAGAGTTTTGGGCGATAGATGGGCCTGACCGGCCCGCACCCCCAGGTGAAGAAGACGAACATATGTAAGAGTGCGCTTCTTGTACATATACCGGTGCGGTTCATCACTCAATGCTTTTTCATAGTACACTCTTGGGTAGGTGTTGGACTCGATCGATCTTCCACTGTATCTAAAAAAACCTTGCGCCTATTGGCGCTACATCATTGCTATCCTTTGCCGACCAACCCGGAACGACTTTGAGGTACAGACACACCCAGTCTCCACCCGCTCAATCCCTCATCCCTGGCCTCTTCCTCTCCCATAAAAACACTCTCAACTTGCGACGCTGAATAGACCAGCATCATAGTAAACAACGATCCCCAATCCCCCACCAATCACGTGTGCGTAGGCGAGGACGCACCGTGTCCACCCGAGACAGCCATCACCAGTATCCAGACCGCTACCCCGACGGCCCCACACATCAACGCTAGGACAACGGCCACGACAAAGCCCAACCCCCACCGCTCCGCCCGGCTCCTCATCCAGAACGTGACAGGCGGCTCGTGCATCACCAGTCCCTTGAGCGCCGGACAGCTGCGCCCAATCTCCCCGGCACGATCATCGCGCATCGCACCCTCGAGCCCGCAGCTATGGAGTGGGTGATCCGGCTTGGCGCAGACGAAGGTGACGTGCTCGGCGTTGGCTCGGAAGACGTGGTTCGCGAAGGCGAGAGGGAGGCCGGAGGCGAGGGTGTGGGAGCGGTTGGAAGAGGAGGAGGGGGGGAAATTGGCGAGGCGGGGGCGGGGGCGGGGGGATGGGGTGCGGCATTTGAAGACGAAGTCGTTGTCGCCGTAGAACGGGGCGGAGGCTTCGCGGTTGATGGTTTGGCAGGTGAGGAGCAGGGCGGAGATGTTGCCGTCGGCGTCGAGGTGGTCCGGGTCTTGCGGCTCGTTGCAGATGTATCTCTGGGCTTTTGCGTGCGAGGGCGACGGTTCGGTCATGTATTCCCCCTGCCAGGTGACCTTGTTGGAGCGGATGAGCACGAAGCCGTAGATTTGGGTTTTGAGCTCGAGGGGCAGGGTGAGAAGACGGCAGGGGTCGATGGGATCGCTTTCGGACGTGGGGCTGGCTTCATTGGCGTGGCTGGCTGCGTTGATGATAAGGCCTAGCTCGATGTCGTCGGTGCTCTGTCGCGGCATCCTGCCACGGTGGAGTGGCAGGTAGGCGGCCAAGGGAAAGCTGATGCGATTCATGTCTGCGGTGGCGGACCCTCAATGTGTGGAGATGGAGAGACCAAAGCTGTGCTTCAATGCGATGATTTAATGGCTGTGCATCTGGACTTGATGATAGATGAGGGGATTCAGATGTGGTAGTGGATGCGTTTGTTGAGGGTAAGAGTCAGGTGAAAGGATCAACGATTAAAAATAGTCTCTCGGCTTTGAGCTATTCTCTCGGCACTGAGGAATGAGGTCTGGCGGCATCACAGTGTCATACGCTGTTATCGCTGCTGGGAAAGATATCCGTCGTCCGATCAAGACTTTTGCTGCACGTAATATCACGTACGGAAGACACCAAAGAACGTGCTGTTTATTGTTTTCAACCTTCTACCTACGGTTGAGGTCTGTTTGCCTATGCTTCTGTCCTTTTGCCATTCTTGAAACAAATCCAATGGTTTCTTTCAACCTGGACTCTTTCGACAATGCCACATTCTACTAACGGTAAAGAACCCCGTCAAACTTCGGAGAGAGCATCATCGGTAGACATTGGAGTCGTGGACAAGTTACCTAGCTTAGGTGTTTGGGCAGTCATAGTAAAGAAAATGTTTCCCAGCTCGCCTAAAAGCCTTCATCAGCCATTATATTACAGATGTTACCAGACTAAGGGAGCCACTGACCGAGACCTCGAAAGCTCCCTACTTTCTGATGCCTCACACAGACCGCATACACCGCTGTGGCGGCTTCCCAGACCTTGAACCACGAGGTGATGTCTCGACCCCCTCTGCCAAAGATTCGCATCATGCACTTACCATCACCTGCGAACATCACTTGTTAGAGTGAGCCTCGCATAAGAGAACGGTACTGGCATTACTGACTGGATTCCAGGAACTGTGGAAGAGGAACCTGGACCGCGAGATCCTCTGGTGGACCGAAGATCTCCGTTGCCGCGAGAGTAGGCATGTCACCTAGTATACTCCTGCACGAGGCCCATGGGCCGAAGGTTCCTCGACACTGCACATCCGGGTGATATGTACCAAGGACAACTGCCATGTTTTGTCCTCCTGATGAGTGTGAGCTTGACAGCTAATTCTCAACCCACACAGCTTTTGATTCACGAGATACTGGACCCGCCAGAATTTCAAGTTTTGCGACGTACCTATTCCAGTTGCGATTCCGCCTTTGGACTGCCTCACCGCACATTGCAAAATCAACTCATACGCGGCATTGCTGAGTTGATTGATGCTGGCGACGCCAGTCCCCAATGAGCTGTCAATCAGGACCGGTTCGAGGTAGCACAGCGCTTCATCTGCCATGAGTCTTAGCGCGACCATTTCTAGGGGAGAATCTGGTGAAGAAATTCGAGGACTCTGATAGCATACCTCCCATGAGTCGGTAAGGGAGTGGGAAGACGTTGATCCCGTGGCCAGAATGGCGTTCTCCGTAAGTAAAAGGCGTTGAAGAGCGCTTGTAGTAAGATCTGGCATTCTGGCAGTCGACAACGTCGGGATTGAAGCCGTATTTTTCTCCGTCGCATTGGATCCGTATCTCGTTTGATACATTAAGCCGTATTGCAGTTTCATCGTCAGACAGGTTTGCAGGCGAGCGGAAATCTACAGACGAGAGTTGTATCGTCTGATCTCCGGCATCTTGTAGCGGGCTTGCGAACGTCAGCGCGAGCGGAAACATGAAGACAAGGACGGATTTTGAGAACATTATTGTCAGAGGCGGGCCTGGGCTAAAGGATTTGAATAATTTTGGATTGTTAGCCCTTTTGTTGAGCAAAGCAAAGCCGACGGAGCACTGAGCAGTATCAAGGCGCTTCATCCACTGCTGTCGGCTACTGTATTATAGGCGACGTGTCGAGCAACTTCCGCTCCACCCAGAAATGAAGCGCAGAGAAACCCGTGGGGAACAATTTCCCAAAGCGTATCTCAAAGGCGCAAGGCTTTTGCTTGGATGGCAACAATAAGTTAATTCTCCCTGTTCATGTAAAAGATGGGAGAAACGATGACACATACTATTGTATTGAATCCATAAACCTCAAGAACCTCAAGCCCATCGAATGATTTCTTTGCTCCCCAACTCCAGCTTTTCACAAACTCTCCATACTTTCTCCCATCCGAGCTCATATGCCATCCTTCGGCATGCTGCATGCCGCCATCTTCCATGCAAGACTTGAGCTTTACTCCCTCCTCTGGAAAGATCCCATAATTGCTGACTGTTCCGTGCATCTCCACCTTTCTTTGCGCCAAGATAGAGTACAATTCGCATTCCCGGCTTTCCCTGTAGCTTAAACTGACGTTCCTTACATCGTTGCTTAGCCTCAATCCCACCACTTGATCTGCGGACGGACACCCAGAACTACATGGCACATCCGCGAGTCCGTTCAGGCCAAAGCAATCAGGACATTCCACGCAATCCGAGGGCCTCAACACCTCAGGATTGTAGGTTTCGCTGTATTGGAAGCAGGCATAGAACTGTGTACTAGTCTTCTGGGGACGCCTTTCCGTGAATGGTCTGGCGAGCAAGAGTGACCGATAATAATTTAGCTCGGTAGATTAGGAAAATAGAGTATGCCGCGGAAGTTAATTAGTCCTGACGGCAAGGGCCCTGAGTCTTGTTCACTCCTCGGTCACAGGGTCGATGTAAACTTCGCCCTTGATCCGAGACTGTTGTGCCTGACGATACTATATATATAAGCATAGGAATTTTTGCCTGTTATGCTCGAAGCATTTACGAAAGTACGAGACGGTTCTGCTTCAAGATTAGACACGAGATTATGCACTGGCAAAGCAAAGCCAAAGCCATCATGTTGTGTCTGGCATGAAAGTGCGAACCTGTCGGCGAGGAACAGGCAGCTGTGAATCTTGTGAGTGTTCAACGAAATCAGAGACATGAAAACTCCTTAAAGTGCGTTACGGACTGCCTTTGGCTGGCTGCGAAACCGGTTGTCCGGTTCCGACCCCTCAGGACTAACGAACCACGGTACTTCTATGAACCTGCCTTGATAGGGGTTTGGCCGTGACCAACATGATCAGAGGCGTGGCCGAGATGCGATCAAGGACTGACGAGCCTCGACAGCTTGTGATTGGTGGTATGGAGTCCCGCAGCTGTTCTGGCTAGTCATTCATTCTTATGCGAATAGGCTGCCGATTAGCTGTGCGCTGGTGGATTTGATTCCGATACCCGTGTAAGGAAGGAGGATGGTTGATGAGTAAAGGGAAGGCAAGGAAACGCTCTGGTGACGGTAGAATGAACGATGAGATGGATGTCAGATCACGTTCTCTTAGCTGAGATAAGACATCCGACGTGCGATCCGAAATCTTAGATAGAATGGCATCAAATGCTCACGAGCTAGATTCAAGTATCATGAGCCTCGTAGCGCGATGCGCAGACCTGATTGTTGAGAGCTCAGAGACAGTTACCCTGAGGTTATCGCATATGAGCCTACGATTCTCAGCCTGTTATGCTCGGCATCTCTGGATGTACAGTTTCGGGCAATGGTGATGGAGTCCCGTGTTTTCTGGCAATTTCGTCTTTAACATCCCATGCCCAGACATATTCCCTGTTTCAAGATCTAGGACAAAGATCCCGTCCAAGACATGTTTTGGTACAATGCTTCAAACATGTAAAATGCTTCCCCGAAGACTGCTATTAAGGCGATGGACATGATAAGCATTTTCGGACCAAGATTTATACTGTGCACAGACGAGCTCACCATTCCTTGGGACTGTGAGCGATAGATAAGCGAGAATCGTACAGAGAAGGCCGCCTCATGAGTCAAGACAGGTTTGGCGAATGTAGAGATGCGAACCACAAAAAGCGTCAAAGTAGCAGACAAGGCAAGAGTGATCAGCCAGGTGAGCGCAGCAGGAAACTCGAGAGTAGGAAAAGCAGAAAGAGTGGAAGGCAGGTCGGCGTGGTGATTGAGTCTTGTATTTTCAGTTTTGAGAGAACCTTGAGGTGCGAATGTCGAGTACCGTGAAATGTGTTGACGGCTAAGAATTTCAAATGTCAAGTCCAAGCCAAGCCCAGAAATCAAGGCTGTTGCGCTTGATGTTTTTGCGTTATGGCGTATGCCTGAGTGTCTGGAGATGATGCTCATCGTACTCTTCAGCTTTTTTGCAGGTCCATCTGTATGAGTGCTGAATGATACAGGTCTGGGGCTTTTGATGCGGCTGTAAGGAAAGGGATTGGAGTACCAAGTCCTTCTAGACAGTGGGTCGACAAATGCAGCAAAAGTAGCAATGTCGGGCGAACAAAGGAAGGATCGACTGTCTGTAAAGCTCATTGCTGCCTTGTGGAGGCGAGAAGGGCTCATCAGTTCATTTCACAGCTCCTTTCTGTTGTGAATAAGGAACAAAAAACAAACAAACAAAAATCCCACCCTCAAAAAACGGCCCTCTACCCGGATCGAACTCAGCTCCTAAACTCATCTCCGAAAACCAGGAATTGAAAATAGCAAAAGGACTCACATCGCAGCCTCTCTGAGAGGGTGGATGCTACAGGAAATTCAGGCTCATGGAGATTTTCAGTCATTGCCATCTTTCACTTTCGGAGGCACAATGTAAAGGCTTGCTTGATACTAATCATGTCCGCACGATTAGCGCGACCTTTGAACATGTGGCCAGTGTATGAGGTCTCTAGCTACTCCTCAGCTAGCCATACGATCTGGACGATTGAAAGGAAACCCGCTATTTCAAAATATATAATAAATAATAAAATCCTCACTTCCAATTACCGCAACGCATTTAGATCTTACTCTTCAATACTCTTAAATCACTCCTAGCTTTCTTCCTTGGATTAGAACTTGCTTTGCGCTTTCTTCAATTCTTTCCAAGATACGAAATCTCAACAAGGCAATCGCGCTCGTTCGCTGAAAGAGCAACCACAACACACGCTATCACGTTCTTCTCTAATGCAACATCCAAAGTACTGCACTGATGATAGATAACTCACCAGTTCTTTCACACAGGTCCACTCGCATCAACCCTTGCTCTATCCAGTCTGCGCTTCATCCGCCTACCTGCCACCACTGACCAGCGCAAACCCGAGCCCCTGACGTACGAAAAGCTTCGACTCTGGCAGACATCACGGGCATTTGGGCGCATACAAGATCCCTTCCACGGCCGATGGTATCCGTTACCATACCTCTTTCCAACATGCCTCCAGCGTATACAGAGCTCGAACGACAGCACGGGCGGTGCGAATCCACCACGCCTCCACTCACTCCATCGATGCTGTCCGCGGTTAAAACGCCTCTTCTGGCATCGAGCCTCCACGTCTACACCGATTCTTGGCCATAGGCGGCGCCAAAGAGCGGGCTCTGGGCTACAGTGGAGGGTCAAGACAAGACAAGAGGTGGCAACAGGATACGGACGCAGCAATGCAAGAACAACACGATCAGTGGGCAGGTCGGAGGGGCCAATTTTGCTGGAATAGGTGTTTTGACGAGTACTGATCCGGAGTAATGAAGGCATTGGGTAGGGAGAGAGGTAACAGGAAGGCGGTGAGCAGCAGGAATTTACCAAAGCCCGGCGACGCATGTCGAAAAGACCCTTGTCAGAGCCGAGATTGTTTGAGGTAAAGAGCAATGGATGTACGATGCCTTTCTATAGCAACCCGTTACGATGGGAAGAGATGGGGTCGAAATAGGAGGCCTGCTGAGCGATGCGGTCCAGGTTCTATTTTTGCCTTTGCACCAACCCGTACTAGACAGGTTTAGAGGAATTACGCATTAAGTAGCACAGTCAGAAATCTTACTGCCAGGCTTAGCAAAAAAGTTACCCGAATAAGCAAGTTTTCGGCTCGCTTTTAAATCACTGATTTATAATAGGCAGCTGCTACGCGTACAGCCCCTTTTTACTAGGCTTAAAGCCCTATCCAATAGGGTATACGCCTACAGGCTAATGACGACCTGCTGAAGAAGTAGTCCTGACCGGTTGAGACAAATAAATAGATACGCCTTGTCCAGCAGTCAAGTGTGGCACGTGCTAGGAATAAGATAGAACTAATCTCAATGAGGGACTTCTTGCGCCCTACAGCTCTTTTACTGAAACAAATCCATCATGGAAAACACCCAAAGATGACGCAAAGCCGAGAATTTTCGAATCCTCATACTTCCACTTTTACTGACCGCGTTCCTACGTTCAATCGTACGTGAAATTTTGACTTTCAATCGCAGCCCCTTTGTCCAACAATTCCCAGAAATTGGCAAGAATTCGAAGGCGCAGGACCATCATGGCCCCGAGAGAACTTATTCGAATCCACCGCTGCGCGCCAGTAAGTCACCCTGGGTATGTAACAAATCTGTGAACGTGCTCCAGTTCACTGGTAAATAGTGACGGGTGTCTCAACCTCTTGTAGTAGAATAGGTAACCATCTACATCGGCTTCCAACCCGTTCGTGGAACTGGGCAGACTTTAGACGCGTAAAGGATGATTGCCAGATCTGTCGATTCTAGGCTTTGACGAATGCATGACACAATTTCCGTCGCAAGCGATAACGAGGGGGGAGGGGGTAGACAACGAGAGAAGCAGAGATGTTGTACGGCGGTAGAGAGTACAGTGTTCAAGCAGCCGCCGCAAGAGGGCCACGGACACAAGATCCGCCTTCAAAACATCAGGTAACCTGAGCATAGAACGACGAATAATAGCAAGGTCGACGGAAACGGTAGTCAAAGAGCGTTGTGTTTCTGTAGAATCGATCTTGGATTATGCAAATCTAATTTCAGGTAACGTCAATAATTCAGAAGAGAACGTTGCTGCAGTGCCTCAAGTAGATTTTCGAAAAGCCATGGAAGATCATCTTCTCTTTCGCCCTTCTGAGTCTTCCACAGGCGCCATTCCCTAACAAGGTCCATAGTTCGATCCGGTACAAGTCAACTTCTCTTTCTTCTTCCTTTGCCGAACTCCTGCTTCGGATGACCTCATATCCTGGTTTTGTCGTGCAACCAAATACTTGCTTTTTTTCGCTGCGCGACTGAAACGGTAAGGATCAAAGCCTTACCTGCTGCAACAACGGGCGGTGGGAGCCTTGGTTTGGCGGCCGAAAACGCGAACTAATAAAGCATTCCACCATCTCCAGCGATTTCCTCAGATACGACAAGCCCACAACCTATATCGGGACATCAAATTCTTGGAACATGCTTTCGGTGAAGACGGCACGCCTCACAGCATACATACCCCTTGCGAATTTGTCTTCGGTTCGGTGTCTTATGGCCGAAGCTCGGACTTGCTCCTTGGAGGCTCAATCACCCTTCTTCCATAGACTTCCCGAAGCTCGCTAAACCATGCCTGTATGAACGTATTTTCAAGGCAAGGATTCTATCAGCACGCTATAGGCCTTGCAGCTCTGGTGATCCATCTCAATGCCATCGTGGGCCTGATCTTGAGGCTCGCGATATGCAGGTCTGTTGTTTACGACTCGAACAGAAGAATTCGCGTTTTCACTGTGTTATCGCTGGATTAACATTCCCAACCTTGTCACCGGCATGGAAATGCTCATTTTTCCCCTCCTTACTCTATGGCGCCTTCACACAGGATTTGGCAATAAGTTTGGCCCGACTTTGACGTTCCTGATTCGCTCTGCTGGCTTCAAGAGATTGGGTCTTGGTGACGAGAATGACCTCAAGATAATGCACACGTACGGGGAGCGAGTTGGGGATAAGGATGTTAATCACCCTGCCAAGAGGCCACAGTCCTTTGGCGCGAGATGAACAGGCATAAAGTAAGCGTGGCTGCTACTCGTCAATCTGGCAACCGGCGGAGAGACGGCAAGGAGGAAACCCATTTTTCGGGCCCTTGCGATGTTGCCCGTCATTCCTGGGTAGCGAAGGTGAATTGAGCGTTCCGTGTTTACAAGGTCTTTGGCGATTAGATGTCACAATGTTACCGGAGTAGTCCCGTTGCCTCTATTACCTTAAGCTGAAACCGAGCAAAGAAGCTAGAGAGAAGCCGATGAAAAGTGCTTTTGGAATGGGCTTGTGATCCGCGAGTCATTGGTCGCCATTGGTAGTTTGCAGGACCGTCATTTACCTCCCTCCTGAGTCATGTTTTATCAAGAATCATAAGCCGCCCATTCTACGCAGCAGAGCTTCAACAGCGGACCTGCGGGAGGAGATATCACATCGTTCTCCGTTCTCGGTGCTGGTCTGTGGGCCGAAAAAGTAGAATCAATGACGGCTTCAAGTATCGGTGATCTTGGGAGGTTGCAGACTGAAGCTCTATTCTGGTATTCCTGTTGCGCCTGGTCATCGTCATCATAATGGGCGAGGAGAAGCATGTTCGGCATGGGCAGACATCGCCGAATGTTGGGGGGCCAAATCCGAATCGCCACGGGCGGGGGGAGAATATCCGCTCTGAATTCAAATCCCCCCTTTTTCGGTTTGCACCTGGCACTTGATGTACTAGTACGTGGTTCGTGCACCAAGGAATTGCACTGACTGCCTTGTGGAACTGTTTTGGTTTTAGTACATCAGGTCACCTTCTGTGGGAAGGAAGCGGGTCTTGGCAGCGGAAACAGGAGACTGTGCCCACTGGCAACGTACAAGTATGGCTAGCTCTACGCGGGCTGTGGTAAAGTATTGACTTGATTGAAGAGCATGAGCACACAGAATACCGGCGGGTATACTCTCGCTCGGGTAAATATACAAAGATGTCTGAAAATCGACCATTTGCCACCATCCGATCCCGGAGCCATTTGCTTGCGGATTAGGGGGATGCGATACTCCACTGAGTGCTAGAAACCACCGAGGCAGTCACCTGAATCCAAAATGATTCTACCCTCCACCTTTCCACCTTCTAGCATGGGAATCCGCAGTTGTTCGTCCGAGCGCCATTAGCATAACCCCACACTCCATGAGGACCTCCATTTGGAAGAACATTTTGGAGACCGCATTGATGGGTTGAATCATACGCAGACCAGACCTCGTTGGAGGGGCTTGGCAAATATGGGTTGTTGTAGCTCATAGTATATGGGTCGTCATCCACATCTGGAGAGGTCAGTAAAGCCATCTCAAGCGGTGAACAAAGTTAGAAAGGACTTACTCCCGGAGGTTATCTCGAACACTTGAGGGAGCAGGCTGTCTAGTCCCTGAGTCTTCCCATCCTGCACGTAAAGCGGTCCACCTTTCGTCCCGCCGATCCAATTCCTTGGAGTGCCGTTGTCGAAGAGTTCGATATCGTAGCTATACTGACCCTCTGGAACGGTCGCGTCCGCCGCGGCGTTGACCTTCTGATGCTGAACTATGTTTGCCACACACCAACCGCCTATGTAACTCGCGGAGCCCCATTGCCCAGTACCCTTCAGGGTGATATTGGTCTCAACACCGTTGGCCTTGCTCCATGCGATGCCGCCTATCCAGGTCCCGTCGAAGAGATCCATATACATGCCAGTGGCTCCTGGAACCGTTGGGCTGAAGTCCACAATGAGCGTCCCGTACTCTGTCCCTGCGCCCATCCTCCCGTTCAAATCTACGCAACTGGCGTTACCAATCGTAACGCCAAAAGGCATTTCAGCGAAATTGGATTCCACGTAGCATTGCTTACAGCCTATGCAAGTTTTGGAGCCAACAGGCTCTTCCCCAAATTCCCACACTGGGATCTCTGCATTCGTAGGATTGGTGGCGAGGAGCAGAGTCACAAGACCGGAGCCTATGGAAAAGAGGCTTTTCATCGTTGCAGTATTCTGGGCTTGGGCAGAAAGAGATGGAAAGCGCTAGCGTCGTATCAATATATGTCTTCTGGATAGAGGAAATGCACAATGACACTTTTTTTGAGGTGAGCGCACGATGTGAGAGGAAGAGGAATCGGTATTTACTTGATTGTTAGATGGGAAGGACGAGAGAGAAAAATGGGAGCAATTGAGTTGATTATGTAGAGGACGATAAAGACCAATTTCAGGAGAGGCCCAGTTACACGAGACGATAGCTCAAAAATATCCCTTGTCCCGTCGGATTGATATACGGTCAAGGTACCTTGCAAGGCTCATAGTGATGAAAATTCGTATAACAAGATTGAAGATGTGGGGTTCATTATTTCTACCGTAAAATTTTAGGTAGTGTTCGTAATTTGAAACAAACCGGCGGCCGTCAAAAGCTGCGTACTCCGCATCATAGGTGGAGACTACTATCCGTGGATAAAATGTCCATCCACGGACAATAGGTACGTATCATTTACGATATCGTGGCGTACATCTCATAGACGAATTTCCACCAATCGCATATATCATCCATGGATAACGCCATCATCCACAGGTTTCACGTCGTCGCCGTACTTATTCATCCGACGTTTCGATTTGGGGTAGGTTCACGGTGCGTTGAGGCGTGGGTGAATAAGGTAGGTAGAGGGGTGAATTTAGGGCTGTCTTCGAGAACTCACCCCAAGGTTAATCTGTTAGGTGTCGTTTCGGGGCTGTGAATCTACTTTCGGCCCCTACAACAGTAAACAATAAGCACGTTTTAAATTATTGCAGTGCAATTTAGAGTCTGTTTCAGACAATTTCCATTATAGTCCGTCAAATGTCATAGAAAATCATGATGATTGATTTTGAAATCTATAAATAAGACGCTTTATCCATGGAATAGAAAGACCCTGATTCGTGAAGGAGTTCGAACTTTATATTATTCGTATACGAGCTCTCACTCGTATCAAGAACAGACTAAGATTAAAGACCCTGAATGTTGAGGGAAAATCGAGAAAATCAAGGGATTTGTTCAGCCTCTGAACAAACCCTCAGTCTCGCAGTAAACCTCTTGCCGAGATTAATATTCCGTATCAAATTAAAATAGTTATCTTCAATTTTATTTCGTATACTACATACTAACCGCGACTAAATCCAGGCTTTAGAATATGTGTGTGTGAGAAAACAAGAAGCACTCAACACCATTTCACCAGCGCCATTAGAGATCGAACCTAATACAAACTAAATACCCCCAACAACACGACTACAACCAACAGGCGTCCGCCCCGGACGGTGTGGGAGTGGCAATGGCCACTTCCAGAGAAGTAGCTATTTGCTAGGCTACATAAGGCTAGCTCCGTTACATACATAGAAATTTCATAGCAAGCAATACCTATGAGCATCTTGCACACCACAAGAATTCACCTTTTCAACGAGTAAGCCAATCAACGAACATTTTCCGGGCATGAAAGCACCGGGGGAATTCAAACCAACGGCTGTTCACGGTTAAAAACTTCAAAAATTTAAAGCTAATGGCGCTGCCAGAAAATAAGAAGCATCGCAACACCATTGTACCAGCGCCATTAGGAATCGAACCTAATACGAACTAGATACCTCTAACAACAGTGTGCGCAGGGGCTGTAGCTTCCCTCTACTCTCTCACAGAAGGCCGGAAAGTACCGCCAATAGGCACTTTTAAAACCTACAGTAGTAGATATTAAGGCTCGAGGTCCACCTGACCGAAATTAACCTCACCGGACTTGCCATAGGCCAATTTGCGCGCTTTTTTGCGTTGGATACTTTATTGATGCGATTTCAGCATTCCATCTCGACGACTGCTCCAGGTCCAGGATATTGCAACGAATGTGGGAATTGTGATCCGCAAGGAAATGAGTATAGACATAACTGGCTCTGCAGGCTGAAGTAGCGTGTAGAACAGCGAATACTGTCTAATCTGACAGGAGGCGACTGGGCCGCCTTTGCGTGAATTCTTGCTAAGACTGTCTGGGTAAGTGGCGGAAGTCGACGAGGTATCCTACCGCTGATCGCCGCTGATGTGGAGATATTCTTATTCAAAAAAAGTTGACTTCGTGTTGGTGGTATTAATGACCAAAACTCTGCAGCCATGAAGCTTGACTCTCTAGGTCGCCGGATCCGCTCAGAATATGTTAGAAGATGACTTACTATGGCAAATTTCGGCGACTTTTATATCTCTTACTGCAAAATTTGCTAGGTATCATAATGTCAAAATACCCCAGGCATGAACTAGCCCTCAAAGCAGTCGGAATATGTACGCTGCCGAGCCTTTGGACATCTCATGCATTCACCATCTCGCAAGTCTTGAAGGCATGCGGGACATCGTGGAAGCCGGCGGACTGAAATGTCGTCCTTTTGCGAGACAGCAACTGCGAGTACCTTTTTAGAAGGGCAAATTGGAGATAGTGAGACGAAGGTGTGTAAAGGAACGAAAGTTGTACACGTCACGCTGACATGGTAGCCCACATTATCCGTGAACCGACCAAATTCTTTGCAAACCCGATTTGTGCCCTTCAAGCAGAGAGACGATGGGCTGTAAGCGGTACACCCATTCAAAATCGCCTCACGGATCTTGTCAGCTTGTTCAAGTTCCTCCGGTGCTCCCCGTTCGACAACCGGAAGGTGTTCAACAGCCAGGTCGCCCAAAATTGGAAAGCAAGGTCCGATCCAGATTCAGTTGCAAAATTGAAAACCCTTGTGAACCGTCTTTCCCTGCGACGCCCCAAGAACACCATCGATTTACCTCCTCGAAGAGATAACCTTGTCGATCTAGCATTCCACGAGCAAGAGTGGGAAGATTATCAAAGAGTCAAAGCTATGACTTTGAACAACCTCCAAACTGCCGGCCAGGACATTCACGGCGCCACCTTTTTCAACGCATTGAAGTGGGTCAATGAACTTCGTCTGATATGCAATCATGGAATGAAGACCCCGATAGAGACGCAGAGATCCGAAGAAAGACCACCAGCATGGAGCATACAACAGGCCCAAGCGCACTTCGACCAACTTGATGAAGTTGGACTGGCCAAATGCTCCAACTCCAGCTGCTGTCAAGACTTGTCCTCTGCTTTATCAAGTGAGACTGGTGCCGAACACGAAGACGAGCCCTGAATAGGCGAGTCATTGGAGCTCCGGTGTTCCTTATGTTTCAAGGATCAGGGCAAAACAGCGATCAAGATTGTCAAGGTATGTAATCATCTTCCCCGGCGTTCTCAGAAACAAGACGCACGGAATGGGGAGGGCAAGAACTTTCTCGAGGATGGATCCTCAGGCCCATCAACTCTGGTCACTCCAAAGAAAGACGATCGCGTGCCGACTAAAGTGAGGAGGCTTTTGCAGGACTTACTCGAAACGCCAGAATATATCACAAGGTCCGTCGTTACCCTCGTTCTGACTCGAAGGTGGCTAACATCCCAACTCCAGCGTCGTCTTGCCCTCCTGGACCACTTGACGCTCGCTGTCTGTAAGTGCGGTCTAGGAAACGAAAGACGCAAGGTATGTCTCCGCATACGCTTCAGTGAAGGTCATTTCAGGGGTATCGTGTAAGTGCAGTTTATAAGACTTGATTGTATGTTGACCGTCGGAACCCAGGCGCCCCTTGATTGAAATTCGTGAAAACGACATCCGGTCTACATACATAAGACGCTATCCCTTCAACTTGTGCACCAAGAACTCCACCGCCTTTTGCTGTGCGTCTTTAGCCCCAGCCGCAAGGTTCGGTGGATTCTTCTCATCGATCAACGTATGACCAGCGCCCTCGAGCATGTGCAGCTCAACCTCCACGCCCAACTCCGTCAATCGATTGTACGTGAGCTGTGACTCGGCCGGTAGCACAAGCTTATCGTCTTTGCCGTGGAGCAAGAAAGTCGGCGGGAACTTCTCCGTGAGCTGGGTCTGCAAGATCACCTTGCGCAGGGCTTCGGGGAGGAAACCTTCCCGCTGAGCCAAGGTTAGACCTCTCAGGAATTTGGACATCCCGTTGACGCCCAGTACGACGTCGACGAATCCACCGGTGCGCCACCACCAGAGCAAGAGCTTTGTCCTCCCACTGTCACCGTTCGGTGCGTCATCACCGAGGAATGGCATCGGGTCATCGGAGACAGGCTCCTGTGTGTCGTTGAGAAGATGTGCAACAGACTCCTTGGTGACGATTCCACCTTCGGGGTCTGGTACATCGCGGTCTTTGACAGCGAGCCAGTGGTCATCCAAGAGTTGGCCGCCCTGGGCATACTGCAGGAGTAACGCTTTCGGCTTTGGTTCGGCAACGATTCCAGCAGCGCGGGTCGCATAGCCTCCGCCCGACTCGCCCGAGACGGCTATGCGGCTGGCGTCGAGGGTGACTCCTGATGGGAGATGCGTCTCGGAGAAGCTGGGAGAAGCGAGGAAGGCAAAGAGGCTCTTAACATCGGCGATGATGTCGAAAGCGGTAGAGGGGTACAGGAGGCGATGGTCTGCGCTGATGAAGAGGATGCCGTGCTCTAGCATTGCATCTGCGGTTGGTGTCAGTGTGGTGTTCACTCATTCATTCACTTCTTCCTTTCTGCAGATGGAGATTGTGAGCCATGCCTTTGAGCCAGTGCTGGAAGAAGAGGGTCTTGCGGCACCCTGCGATCATGCCGCCACCATGGAAGTGCACAAGAGCTGGTACGAGTCCTTGCTTCGGTTCTGGTGGTATATAGAGATCGAGTTTTATGTCGAGAGAGCCGACACGAGAGTAAGTAATCGTTTCCATGTTTTATAATCGTGACTGCATTTAAAGACAGAATGTTGGAAATGTATCAAGGATTGAATCAGGAGATACAAGGAGACGACTCGGTATACCAAGAATCTGTAAGCGCTAGAGCGCGAGAGCGCTAGCGTTACCAATAGGACCTACCCAATTAGGGTTAGCGAAACAGACGCATGTACGCATAAAAGGGGTGCGTCCAGTTGTCGACTTGTCCAAAGAGACAGCCAAGAGTGGTAATCATGAGAACGGCTCTGAGTAGCTTTAGCGAGCAGTAGAAGGAGTGGAGAGCATATGTACAATACGTGGAAAGTCATCGCCGCATTGTTCTTTGACCGTTATGTGCAAAAAGTCAAAGAACAAACAAGACTGGTGCCTGCCTTTGCTGGTTACCGTGGGCCAGATGTTGTGACATCTTTGAAGCGGATCTGTTATCTGGGGACGAAGGCAGCGCATTGGCCGCACCAGGAGAAGGAGACGGTTGTGTCACGGTTGGGCCCTTTATACCTTTCGTTCCTATCTGCCCATCAGCAGCTCGAAGCGTATTTGGCTGGCTTGAGTTCGAAAAGTATGGCAGTATGGACGTATTAATCCCTTCGTATGTCAACATTAGCGAATATCATATTCCCGTGAGCGTACCCCAAGCAACACTCGTGGAAAACCAAGTCCAAAGTGCGAATACCCCTTACCACCTTTCCTGCCTCCCTTCCCACCCTTCACAAACCAGGCCCCTCTCATCCCGACTCGCCACACTCTCCACATCCACATCTCTCCTTACATGGATTGCTTGCGTCGTAATCCCCAGCACCCTATCCGCCTTCTGCGTTATCGGTGGACTAATTTCTTTCGTCGTCACACTTGCCCCCTTTCCACCCTCCGGACCAGATTTGCCGTTCCCCTTCTCCCCATACCACCCGGAAGTCTCTGTCAAAGTCGCATCACTCGACGAAGTTTTTCCCCTCCGAGATGTGAGAGGCCACATCTGGCTCACGCGTATGAAGATAGGTATCGTGCCCGATTTGAGGATTTCGCTGACGCCGGAGCGGTCGCCTCTTTTGGGTGCAGTGCCGCGCATCTTGTTGAAGATGGGTTTGAGTACGGGGAGGCAGGCGTTGATGACGCCGAGGAGGGCTTCGAGGGAGGTGAGCATGGCGATGACAGCGTAGGCTTCTTGTGCGTTGGAGACTGCAATAGTACTTGTGTCGTAGATTCGGTAGAGAGTAATGGCGCAGATGCTGTAGCATCATGCTAATCAGCACAGTCCCGAAGCGCTTCATGTCGGTAGTAGAGGATACTGGCTGGCGAATGGGAAGAACGTACGCAGTACCCATACCAAACATGCCACTCAACATCACTTTTTTCCCTACGGCCATTTTCAAACCCCAAAGGATCGGCATCGGCAGCACCACGGCCGTAACATCGAGAAAAAGATTGAAAATCCCAATGAAGAGGTCTAGAGACTTCTGATCTCCGCAAGATCCTGTACCTCCAACCGTGCGATCCCATCGATAGGATATAGGTTGGCAGATAAGGCAATCTGCAAGGATGGTACCGACGAAGAAGCAAAGATTGACTGCGAGGACAAGGTAGCAGACTATGCGGAAGATGCGGGTTGGGAAGATGCGGATATAGAGGAAGACGATTGAGGCGCGGATGAATGTGACGGAGGCGACCCAGATAATTGGGCACATGAATTGGCTCTGGTGATGTACGTGTCAGCATGAATGTGGTGTTGAAGGCAAGAGGAAAGGTCCTACCTTTTGTGAAAAGATGATTGCTTTCATTATATCCTCTTGACTCATCTCTTTGGCCGTGCCAAAGCAACACCCTGGAAATTCTTAGTCAAACGCTGGCGAGAATTATTTTGTATCGCTTCTGGAAGGGGCTTACCATATATGTTCACGGCGGTCTCCCCTAAAGCACAGACCTAATGCAATTAGATGGACGAATGCTAATATCCGGAAGCCTAGCTCATACCAGGCCAGGCACAATAAGATAATCATTCAACTCCAGCGACATCTTCTGGATTCTTCTCGCCCAAAATCGTAAAACAACTGCAACGGCTGCGAGACCGGAGAATACTGAAAGGACGGTGATATGCTTGACGTAGTATGCAGCGCCGAGGCTTTGGTTGTCCGACATTTTTGGGATCTTCGCAGATACTTCGAATATTTATTGTAATGAACAGAAAAGCCGGCGATACTATCGTGACGAATTAAATATGGAGGTTGAGGAAGTTAAGGTAAGGTAGGTAGATTAAACGAATGGGGATCGAGTGTTTAGAAAGCGTCAAATGAAAGGCTCGAGACGTTTTCAGGAAACGGAGGACGGATAGAGACAGCAGGAAAAGGAAATCAAGTTGCCATGAAAGATCTTATTACTATGTACCCCCCCCTCCCCCTTTTCTCGACGCTCTGCTTGTTTCCCAGACTTCCAAGAGCACAATAGGTGGTTTCAAAATATCTTCCGCCCACCCTCGCCGCACAGCGCAAACATTTCCGAAACGGGGAAAGGAAGAGATACTTAATAATCATAAAATAGAGGACAAAAAAGAACGTCTCCTGCGGCGAGCACGTCTTCTGCCGTTTCATGCTGGTGTCAACGTCATGCATGTAGACACGTAACGTGAGAGCTGAGCATTGAAACGTGCTTTGCCTCATAAGCACGTCAACCGGACTTAGGAGAAAGGCACAAATAAGATACACGGTAACTATGAGAGGGGAAGCCCGGACGGTGCCCGGGAGCACAGTCGCCGAGGATGCATGAACTATGGCTGTCCAAACGAAGATCTCTCGTTACAGCGCAAGCAATTTTTAACAAAGGTCTTGAAGTGAAGACACGGGTAGATGAGAGGGGCGGTTGGAAATAGGGGCGGAGTGGTCCGGCGAGACTCGGGAAGAACCAACAAAAGATAAGCGTAGCGAGCGGCGTGTGCATACTGCATAGGTACTATACTCTATCCGCTGCCTGACTTGCATTAGACGCATGTTAGCCGTACACCCTCATTTAGTCTTGCCTTGGCGTTGTATACTTACCTATCACCTTGGCCATCCAGCTCTGATCATAGAAAGGTTCGCATCTTGCCGTTGTGCCGCGTGAGGAATTAGGTACCTTGGTAGAATTCTCCAAGTGTGTGTGGCTGTGTATTCTTCGACTGAAACTGCTTGGGTCCCTTTATTAGGCGCGCTTCGACAGTATTGACCAGAGCTCCTTATTTCTAAGCAGCCTCTGCTGTGTGAACTGATTCTTGAGATCCTTTCGGGGCAATGGAGCAAAGATCGTCTTCGCCGGCACATTCATCTAAGCCAGGAATTACAGTGTAACCCAAAACCCTCGACGATTGGTTCTTGAATCATTGCGCTAACGGCACAAGTTTCGCACTCGGAAGAGTGCCAATATTCGTTGGAATCAAAAGGCAAGCGCGGAATTGAGTGTGCCCACTTTCTCCCCCTTCAAGCCAGGATTTGATATCGCACCCGTCTGCGTTTTGAATATCCGCTGCAATCGCCGGCGACTTGGTCTTTGTTGGTAAGTTTTCAAACGAAAGGGTTTACGCAGCAAATTGTTGCAGTCGACCGGAGTTCAGAAAGCCCACTTGTCGACATGAAATTGCCTGGGCCACCTTGAAGTTGAAAAGCCTCTGTCTTTCTCCCGACCGTATATCGACATACTCCCAAGGATACTCCTTTCCTCTATTTCCGCCCGCGTAATAGCAAGCTCCTTCTGTTTTGCTAACAGGCTCTTTCTGCCACAGCTTGGCCGGCCGCAGAGGATAGAAAAGGTTTGGACGGGTATCAGGTTGAGCGAATCTACTAAAGAACGATTGCGGAGTGGCAAAAGTGAGAAATTTATGATGACGCCGATGCAGATGAGTGGAAATGGAAAGATCCATCGAAGCCTTCCAGCGATTTTGTGGATAGATTGTCAGGTTTTCACAGAAGCTTGGTCTATTCTCCACCGCGGGCTCGTTATAATGCTTAGTTTTGCGAAGTTTCTTGATGGAACAGCGCAAACCGGGCTCGGTGTACGTGGTGAAAGGAATGTTGAATGAAAACAAGTAGTGGAGTGACGCAACACATCCTTTCCTTAGATGATGCCGACAAGCATGTCTATACCTCTCCTGAGATCGACTTTTCCAGGCTATGAGGTTATGTTCAGAGACTACCAAGGTATGAAGTGGACCATCGAGTGGCAAAGCATGATCAAGGGTCTTGAGGGTGTAGGGCTGACGGGGTACCGCAGAGCGAGGTGCTTCATTTGCAAGCAGAAAAAAATGAATGATGACAATTTCCCTTGTGCTTACAACATACTCTAGCGTGTTGATTCACTATGGTAGACGATGTGCCCGCAGAGATGCTGTTCGGTTCTGTATGATTTCCTTGTTTACAATGACGATCAGAAAGGTTAAGTAAGGGAGGAGAACGCGTTTCCTACAGCGCTAGCAATATATCGCGCTCCCGTAAAGATGTGTTCCTGAAGGCGACTTCCCTTTGAAGTCCACACATTAGCCACCACATATGCAACACACTGGGCACTCGCTCACCGCCTTTGCCCGTGATGAATGACAGTCAATGGCCTGATACCGGCCGGCATCGCCCAAAGACCGTCTCCGATCACTCAGCGAGTCTGAAGGCCGGCTTTGACAATGTTCACAACACTATGAAAGCCAGCGTGTCCAGAGCCATTAACCTTCCCGCAAATCTCCGAGCTCAGATTGCAAAGGGCGTCACAAATGGCATTGCCGAAGCTGAGTCGAATTTGTTTTTCACTTCATATCATTATTGTCTCCAGGCATCTTCGGCATTGTGGTACCCCATCGTATCCCAGTTTTCTGGTAATTGCATGCTTCTTCATTAGACAGACATCAGAGCTTGTGCATAAGGCAACGGGCTCAAAGCCTACGATATTCCATATGTCGGATGCGGATAGATTGAATAAGAGCCTAGAGTTTACGACATATGCATTTGTTGGGGAAAGGCTCTTCGGGTGCGTATCTCTTTTGTAGATGTTGTCGTGTCTTTGACATGGCTCCCAAAGTCGACGGTTCTGGTGTCTCCGATTCTTCCGCATTCCCTCAATTCAGTAGCTACTCCGTAAATAAGTTTTGTGTTTTTGGAGCATACTGGGAAGTAGCGTTTAATCAATAATCCCTAGCACAGCCCAACGCCATTGAAAAAGGTAACATCGTCATCGTTTCCATCGTCGGCAGAAAGCGCTATTTGATTTGGAGTACAAGCCTGCCTCAAAGTTGGCGGAAATGAACAACCTATCATGATATGCATCCCACGTTTACCTCCTTTCCGTGGCTTCCGAGGTAATCCCTCGTTCCTCACCACCTGCGCTCCTCACAACTTGCTCCCCCCCGCCTCACTTTGAACCTCGACAAGCAATTTCCCCGTATTCGTCCCCTCATATAACCCCAATAATGCCCTCTCAGCCACTCCCAACCCTCCCTTCACAATCGTTTCCTTCCTTTGAATCTTGCCTTCAGCGAGCCAGTTGGAGAGCTCTTGTCGCGCAGCTGGATACTGATCCTTATAATCAAATACAATAAATCCCTCCATGCGAATCCGCATGGATATGATCATCAGATAATTCTTCGGCCCCTTCGGCTCAGTGCTATTGTACTGACTGATGGCGCCACAGATCACGAATCTGGAATGGGGCTTTGCTCTCGAGAGCGCCAAGTCAAGAATATCACCGCCGACGTTGTCGAAGAAGACATCGATGAAACCCTTGGTGCTGGTTCGAAATTTGGTGGCGAAATCCGCGTCCTTGTAGTTGAGGGCATCATCACAGCCCAAGTCCCTCAGCCACTCGACTTTGTCATCACTACCAGCCAGACCCAGCACGGTCGCGCCTTTAAGCTTGGCGATCTGGCAGACCACGCTTCCTGTTGCGCCCGCAGCGCCGGAGACGACGACGAAATCGCCGCTTTTGACTTTACCGACATCGATGAGACCGAAGTAGGCTGTCTAATTACAGTTCAGGGTCAGTATCGATTCTCCAAGACACAGGTGTGGGACAGGCAGAATGATACGCATCGGAGGAGGATGACTCGGAAATATACTCACTAAGCCTGTCATTCCTATGATGTTCCGAAATTTGAGCTCCTATTCTCTGTTTCACATAATATCACGTGCTGTGATGATAGCATAGAATAACATACCCAGGACACCCAAAGCATCAGTCAACCTCCCACCCTTGGGCACATCCAACCTCTGCACATCCCCATCCTTGTCCTCCACCACCGCCTGCTCTCTCCACCCACAGGCAGCATAAACATGACATCCAACTTCATATTTGCTAGATTTGGACGCAACAACTCTCGCAATAACCGCGCCGCGCATGACGCCGCCAATGGGGACGGGGGGCACGTAGGAGCGGGTATCGTTGAGCCAGCCTCGCATGGCAGGGTCAAGAGACAGATAGATGATCTCGACCAAGGCTTGGCCTTCCTTGAGGTCGTCTTTGTTGAGTTTCTTCTGGGGTTGCATTTGGAATGTCTTCCCAGGTTGGACGTCGGCTTTGGGGCGCTCGGCCAGGACGACAGTTTGCGTGGTCGCCATTGTTGTAGTCACAGTGCGTGCGAGCGAGCTTTACTGGGTTTGTTCAATTGGGTATGTGATTGAGAGAAGGGTGTCGGAGGGTATTCCTCGTGGGTGACCTGGGTGAGAGATGGGAGAGGAGGGGAATTGTGAAGGATTTGGGAGATTGACGAGCAGAGAATGTGGAATGAATGCTAAGGCAGACTTGGATATATATATGTACTTTGCTGATTGAATATCTGCCCCTCAAATATTCGAACCTCGGTTGGTCCGTCTTTTCTCCTTTTCTCCCGGCCATAACTTCCTGATATAGAAGCTTGGAACTGAACTTCGGCTTGCCTCAATCCTCAGACGCTATCCCAACGCACGAGCTTACCATATCGGGTATAGATCAGTGCGGAGGGCTTCCGCGCTCGGGTTTAAATCTCGGAGGTTACACGTTAGAGAACGCGTCTAGTAAAATGTTAATACCTACAAGTATACTCTCAAATCTCAATAGGTACTCTGCTCAATGACATAAAAGTCCTGGACAACCATTCAATCTGAGCCGCAAGGCTTGTGACATCTCTCCCGAGACTCTGCACGCAATGCTTCAACTCAATTGGCCCCATATCCACCCACACCCTTCTCAAGATGCCCTTGATCACGCAGCCAGTCTCGAAGCCGACTTCGATGCTCTGGACGCATGTGTGAAGCTCAGCGTATCCAAGCATCACAGACTCCCCTCATCCTTGCAGACAGATATTTTTACAGGAATTCTCAAAGCCTTGTCCGACCCGGAGTACCCCTACGAAGATTCTGAAGCGGACAGAACCCTCATTGGCGCTCTCATACTCAAGCACATCACTGTCGAAGCTGCCGAGCGAGCGAGAGATAGGATACCTCTACGGCAATATCACGACATCCGCAAGTCCTTCCAAGAGTTCGTTACAAAGCTCAATGCCGAGGGTAGTCAAGCCCATCCCAAGACGACGACTGGAAGGGACGAGCGTGGAGCGAACAATTTTACGGAGCCCAGCCCAGAACTCGAGCCAACACTCGTAACCCGAGACTCCTGTAGTCGGCAAAGCGAAGCAGTGCGGCCAGTGGCGCTGAGCAATGGGGATGATACCCGCGAAGGAGCTGGGCAAGCAGACTTGTCTCGCGAAAAGGGGCGGGATACTACACCGGCAGCCATTGCCATCGACCGACCCAAGAAGAAAGGGAGGAAAAGGAAGAATCGTGATGGGCTTAGGCAGACAAAAGAAGGGGACAAGGCAAGCGTCGCGGGTGGTGGTGGCATCTTGGAGATCATGGGCAACCAACCCGGAGTCGAAGAGGTGCGAGTCCACCCGGACTGGATAGACAGCGGAGTGGAGACAGACGATGGCGAGGATCTCTTGAGGATGTTCAAGAACATCGAAGCTCAATGCGAACACATCCGTCTGCAGCTGCAAGATTTTGAGAGCGAGCAACTGAAGGGTTCTGCTATGTTGCACGTGGTAGACGAGTTGATGGAGGAAGACGACTCAGGTGTAGACCTTATGCATGCAGACACTTTGGTCAACGATCCAAGTGATCTGGCCCTACGGCCTAACGATCAAGCAGACAACCAAACACGAATTGAACACAATGAACAATTCCAGCAAGGTCCGGAGACGGAGCAGGAGGTGGGAGACCCAGACGCGTCCTCTCTCATCACGTTCAACATCGAAAATCAGGCAACTGTCAACCACTTGAACGACATGGGTTCTGACGGTATACTACTGAGGCTGTCTAGCTCGCTTGACACCATGAGGTCTTTAGGGCACGATGTCCCAGACTCCATACGTTTCACCGAAGCTATGTTATTAGATATAGGCAATGTCGAGGTGCTCGCTCACGCGGGATCAAAAGAGGACATGGAGCGACTTAGCAGAATACGAGGCTGGGACCTTGAGTTCGAGAGGAGCATATCTGCGCCGGCCAAATCTTACGCCGTTGAAACAGCTCGAATCAGCGTTGACAGTCTGGATATGCGGACAAGGAAACACAAAGCCAAGGCGATCAGAGAGCTCCTAGAGGAAAATTCACGCGTCGTGGTGTCTCTGCGCTGTGTCGATGACATCCACAACATTCGTTGGTGCCAGGGATACAAAAAGGAAAGCAGCCTGGTCATCAAATTTCGTACCGCCCAGCAAGCTGACGAGGTCCTCCGTTCTGGTATATTTGTTCGCGGCAAGCACTACAAATGTCACCCCGTTGATCTGCAAATTCTCCGGTGCGGAAGATGTCAAGCCTTTGGTCACCATAGATTATGCTGTTCCTCTGCCAACCGATGCGGGAGGTGTGCGTCGCAGCATGCTACGTCGGCATGCACTTCCAACATCATACTATGTGCCAACTGCCAAGGCTCACATGAAGCTAAGGCCGCAACGTGTCCAGCCAGGGAAGCTCACAAGCAGAGACTTCGCTACACTGATCCTTCCTCGCAAATAGGGAAGGCAGAGCATGAGGAACGAGCACCAGAACCACAGAGCCAGGCAGCGGCCCTCAACCTACCATCGCCAAACTCAATGCCAATCACGCCACATAATGAAGGAGAGGTCAAGGTCGAAAAAGATGTGTCGCTCCAAAATTTTGGCCCTGTGCGAGAACATCATCCTCTGAGACACACGTCGATGCCAGCGAGTTCACAACATGAGCCGCACGTCAAGGCTGAAGGTAGTGAACACACTCAGGAGTTGGGTCTTGTGCAAAATCAACCTTCAGAACTCACATCGATTCAGAGACGACTGGATGGCCTTGAAACGGCCGTCAAGCGACTCTCTAGTCCGCAACGTCATCCGCGAAGAAGAAAGAGGGGAGCTGACGAAATGCTTACGGGTGGGCCATCATCGTATGCTAGAAAGCAAACAAGGCGCGCGACACAAAGCAGAGATAACTACCCACTTCGAAACCGGAGCCATCTGCCCACTGACTGGAATTCCTCACCATACGCCGTTCCACGTCCAGGACAAGGTATGCCACGTCAATTCTTCATTCGTAGCCTCTGAAGGACCAGGCAGAGAGATGCATTGGCTGTCAAGCTCTCGCTCTCGTGCCGCTGCGGGTTTGCCCACTCATTCCAATTATACAGGCTTTGACGAAACTGTCAACGCTGTTGGACTCAACCCGTCATCATTCGCGTGGTACCTTTCCCTGCAGCTGCAGGCAATCGCAGGTCTGTGGGAAGAAAGCAGGATTTTACCGTGGTTCATGTAACCATCAACTTGCTTGATGTCCTGACTTAGGTGGATCATGCGCATCTTTATCAGCCAAAGCGGCTCCAACATGATTCAATCATCTCCGTACTGGTTTACCTCTATAGCGCGGCTCTTGAATGAGCTATACAGATAAGAGATCAAATCTACTCAATGCCTCGCATGTGACCGGAACAAATCCCCAACAAACACCTAAAGACGACCCCATCCCCATTTCAAATCCACCAATGACCCGCAAAGTTCCCACGGTCTACGTGCATGCACTTCAAATCCCATGCCACTATCCGAGTGATCTTTGACCTACTCCCAAAACCTCGCCCACGAAGCTCCTCGCGGCACCTGACTCCTGAGTCAGGTACGTTAGATTACCTAGCTCTGAGACCCATCCGTCGGCATAATACAGATGGAGCATACTACCGTACTGTCGTAACCCCTTCTCAGCTCAGCATCAAGGACCACGTCACGAAGATAGGTAGATATGCTTTCGAGTCTTACTCCTTTCTTTGACTTTTCTAGGGCAGGGGCTATGGACGGCTTAAGTAAGGATTGAAAGCGGGGAGCGAGATTGTTTTGAGGATTTGAGCCAGCTTCGCACTGTCTAGGAGTAGAGAGGTAGGTTGGGTGTATGCCATGATGTACGAATACGGCGGGATGTATGCCTCGGTCACGAGGATGTTGCGAGTGGAGAATCATGAAAGGAAGTGGGGAGGTGATGAGTATACACATACTACTGGGACTACAGAACATCTTAGCGCAGCAAGAATCATGGGTATACTATTACTATATGGGAACTGCGAGCTACTCCGAATCGAATAGATCAGACGCGCATCCCGAGTGAATTCTCCTGGACCAAAACCTGAAAAAACCGACAAGCAGTCGTAGCAGTGCGTTTGTCCGTGCCTAAACCAGCCCTCGATCAACTCTGCAGAAAAAGTGCACGATCTGGCCGCTGATAGGAAAAGAATGAAAGGAAGAAAGAAAGAAGGGAGACGGAAATCGCAAACGACGTCTTCACCCAAAGAAAACCCACCCACCCCCCCTTTCCCCGGGGCTTCACTCCCACTCCTCCACCGTCGCATAATCCCTCGCCACCTTCCGCCCGCCCGTGACCAACGAATGCGTCTCCCACTCATAACACTCCCCCTCCCCCTCCTCCCCTCCCACACTCCCACCGCTCCCGCACAGCGGCCACGAAACCTTCGTCCCCATGTCGCAAAACACGCGCTCGGACCAGGACACAAAGTCCGGCCCGTGCGACAGCTCGCTGCCGCACAGGTCCGTCGCGCTGTGTTTGCCGTGCGGGCTCGAAACGAGCCGGGCGGCGAGGGCGGGCGAGCGCCGGTTGCGGGGCTGCTGCTGCCGCTGGCGCTTCGTCTTGATCTTCGCGTACCCGTCGTCGTCCATGCAGCAGGGTCCGCCCGGGGGGTGGTTGCCGCGGAAGAGGCGGTCCTCTTTGGGCGGGTGTTTTTTGAAGTCGAGGTGTTTGGTGGGGTCGCGGTGGAAGATGATGCATTCTTCGTCGCAGTAGTGGGCGGGGTCGCGGCTGTAGGCTGTGGTTAGGTTGGTGTACTCCTGGGGAAGGGAAGAGTTTAGCGGTGGGTGGGCGGGACTTTGAAAAAGGGGGGGGGGGAAGGGGTTGGCTGGTGGTCTGGCTTACCTGCATGTGGATCTGGAGCGCTGCTGGTTTGTCATGGTCTGGGTCGTCGCTGTGGTCGGCGTCCATCCATATGCAATCTGAGGAAGGGGTTTGATGTGAGCTGTTGGATTCGAGTATCACGATGGTAATGGGCTTTGTTTGAAACCCTGGGAACCAACTCACCAGGCACATGACCATCGTTACCGACGAAAATATGGGAATAGTAATAAGGCCTCCCACACGCACGTCCCATGTCGCCCAACCACCCCCGCGTCGTCCCATCAGCCCACGTTTGCGATATGTACGCAATACAAACCGCATCCGTTCCAGCGAAGAGTTGCAAATACGTAGCTTGCTGGCCCGGGCCCTTCTGCTGCTCGATGATCACATCGTGGAAGCCGCCGGACTTGATGTGCGGTCTGTGTTGCCAGTCCGACCATCCGATATAGTCGCCCACTTCGTTGTACGCGAGGATGGCCGGATACGTCCCGTCGGCTTGGGTGGGACCGTCGTCGGGCGCGTTGAGAGCGACGGCGACGCGTACGGCTGAGTTGTCGGGGTGTTGGCGGATGTTGGGGACGTCGTGCTTGCCGAGCGTGACGAGAGCGACTAAGCCAAACGCAACGTAGAGGATGCCGGTGATGGCGTCGTCCTGCATCTTTGCTGTGGAGGTTGATCAGATGAATCTGTAAGGATGAGCAAGCTGCGTCTTTTAAGTTCACTTGCCAAGCGCTTTCATATTGTTAACACTTCACAACCTTGAGCGTGGCCGATGAAAGACTGATAGTGAGCAAATTGGTGAGTAGAGTGATCTTCATTTGAGAAGGTATGAGACGTCCTCAGCCCCTTTCGCCATAGCTGTTACCTTTGAAATCAGTATTGTCCAATCGTCAACCAGCGGACAATCTCAGTCAGAAAATTTGACTGTGTGAATGGAGTAGGGTTGTCAGATGCTTGTATCAGCTAGACTCTGCAGATGAACCCGAAGCAGGAGAGCTGTTTATGTACGATGAATCGCTATCCGTATAGGATGGTCACATAAAGCACCAGTCAAATGGATTGGTTTGGAAAGGGCCAGATTTCAGTAAATCGTGAAAGCGACAATTGAGAAGGAATATGTTATATATATCAATCAGGACGTAAAAGCGAAGAGAGCGTTTGAGGCAGAAGATTGCGTGGTCAGGAAAATCATCCACACGAGAACATTTTGGTAACCAGAGCAAGGCTTGAGTGGGTACAACGTGTAGGAGATTCTTTGATCTCCAGAGCTGGTGGAGTTTGTGTTGAGGGAGCCACTGACTGCTCACCGAGCCTCAATGATGCCTATGCTCCCCATTCTCGTCTATCTCGTTTTGCATGTCGCTCCTTGACGTAGCCCAGTGCGATCGAGGCTGCTTTTGCGACGTGTCGTGTTGAGTCGAACGGCTCGTAACGCTTGTGGGATGAGGCATGCGACTCATGGCACTTTGAAAGGTTTCTGCAATGAGAGCGCCATTTATGAAATCCTCTGCCCATGTCCTAGTGGCCGTAGAGTCTACCGTTGTATGGGTGCATTGAAAACATAGAGGAGCTGGAGGAGCTGGACGAACTGGCCTGAACAACGAATGCCGGAAACCACGCTCGTAACCACTGACATGATCTTCGCCTCACTTGTTCGCCCAGAGGATCAACGTCATCCGACGATGGAAAGAGGCAAGAAGTAGTAGTGGCCAAGGAACGGCAGGTCAAGCCATCAAATCATGGTCTGCGCCTTAGTGATGTTGTAGGTCGAGCAGTTAGGTCGCAACTTGTTCTCAGTGCATCCTTTCTCGTCCAGAATATGCAGAGTTGAGTTGAATTGTCACCAAAAGATCACCTATCGTCCTAGCTTCGTGTTCTGCTACACATCGCGCTGAGCTGCAACTGTAGAACAGAGACGTACATAAGCCGAGAAGCAGCAAAAAAAGCTTGTAATCGGAGAGGATATCACATCCACCACGGGAAACCCCTAGTGCTCTCCGTATGCTTAAGCAGCCTGCTCGTTCGTTCGTTCGTTCGTCTCGCCATCCACTTTACGCCTCCGAAGCTCTCTCCTTGTGTTTGTATCATCATCCATTTCCTCACTTCGCTCCTTCCTTTTTTCCCTCGCTCAATCGTAGTCCTGGCCCGAACTCGAGTCATCAATCACTTCACTAGACTCTTCACTCCCCATATCATGGAGCATGCTTGCCTTCAATCTCCCACCCTCGGCATATCCCTCGCTTATGTATCCTTTCTGCACCTCATTCTTCCTCTCCTCCTCGGTCCCATTCCCCGAGTAATCCTCGACAGTATTTGGTTTCAGCGCCTTCTTCGCCGTCCTGCCTTCTAAACTCCAACCTCTGCTTGCCCATTCGGCCTGCTCTGCTGCACTCAACATTAACGTGTTGCCCTCCGGCATCGTTTCGATTAACAACTGTTTCGCTCCTGTGGCCCTGGCGATTTCCTCGGCTAGTTCGATGTCTTTGGTGTAGCCAATAGTGAGGGTCTTGATGCCGATCATTCTTGCCAGGGCTTCGGGGATGCAAGCGTGTACACTTGTGGTGGAGTTTGAAAAGAGTTCTTCGGCGAAGTAGAAATTTGGGTTGGGAAGGTCCCAAATGTCGCCACCGTCGACGCCAGGGAGGTAGACTGAAAGGGCTGTTGGAGGAAGTTAGGATGGCTGAATGAAAGGGTTGGGGATTGGCAGATTACATTGGAGGCCTTGGTTGGTGACAAGGAGGTGGAGGGTGCGGACAACTGTGAGCAATGAATGGTCAGCAGAACTTATCTATTAAGGGAGCTGGGGGAAATTCATTTACTGAGGCGGATGGTCTTTTTCTCAAGTCGCTTCACCATGTCGATCAATTGTTGCCGGTGCTCTCGAATTTCGTCATCTTCCGATTCCCCCATATCTTCAATCTTCTCTAGGATGCCGTGTATGTTGCCTCTCCCAGACTCGATACTGACACCGTAGGCCCAGCCGATTTCGAGGTGACGTATGGCTCTTCTGTTGCGCTCACCGATATCAAGTAACCAGTAGAAGATGTCGTTGTTATCCTCGGCGTATACAATGATCTTGTTTGCGCCATAGAAGATGGGGGTGGCCTCGGTGTTTATGAGGCGGCAGGTGCGGAGGAAAGATGCATTTGTTGGAGCAGTTCTGGCCCTGTGGCTGCCATAGACGAGACCTTCTTGAAGTGAGTCTGCGTACCAGCTGCTAGGCGCCCCCTTGGAGTAATCGTGTTTGGCTTCTCTTGATAAGGCGAGGATTTCATGGCTAGGCTGTGGGAAGAGGTAGGTGTAGATGAGGCAGCGAACCTCAGAACAGAGACCAAGGAAGTTTGGCTATGGAAGAGTGATGGATAAGCGACTGCGAATCATTGTTGGGGAGGGTAAGATTCGGGTGTTTCGTATTGGACTCACCATGATGGCTCGCTCTCCTTGGTCTGATCACGTAGGAAAGAGACTATTGGGGAATTGTATGAGTCTGGCATCGGAGTTATCAAGACAGCACTGTGCTGACCATGATTCCTTTCTTTGCTATGGTCTATTGTGATTGGTGATTTTGATTGGTGAGAAAAAGGCGAAGTGATATTAGGATTTTCATACGTGAATATATATATGTGGTAGAAGTTCTTGTGTCGGCGAAGTCGGCATCCTGGATTCTGATATAGTGCGGCGATATTGTTTTTTCAGGGTCTTTCAGGGTCTTTCAGGGTCTTTCAGGGTCCAGGGGTCCAGGGGTCCAAGGGTCCAAGGGTCCAGACGTAAAGTACCTAGGGCTCGACATCGATGCATTATGATAATGCATGATTATTAACTGGTGGCGTCGCAGGCATTTCGTTGGCTAAGTAATGATTGGGTTGCATACATTACATAAATTACATACATTACGGTAGGCCCAATCTCTTTGTGACCAGTCCAAAGCTGATATGTAAATAAAAATAGTAATGCCACATAAATATTGTCTTGCTCTTTGCACCTTGCACCTTGTAGGCCCTTATTTCCATGATATACGAGACCCTTCTGCATCAGTCTTTTCTGTCAGACTCGGACAACTCCTTGGACATTGTTGTTTCAATTTTGCGAATGATCCTGGCAGGATTGCCAGCCACCACATGGAATGGTGGTACATCTTTCGTCACCACGCTGCCCGCTCCCACGGTGGAACCTCTTCCAATGGTCACACCTGGCAAGATGATAGCACCGCCGCCGATCCAGCAATCCTCTCCCACATGGATCTCCTTGCCCGTCTCCGGACCTCGGGTCCCATTGCGTAGCTGCGGGTCAAGTGGATGTGTTCCACTGTAGAAGGAGACATTTGGCGCAACCAGAGTTCGAGATCCGATAGAGACAAGGCAGGTATCAATGATGGTACAGTTGTAATTGAGCTGAACATTGGATCCTAGACGGATATTGGTTCCATAATCAATGTGGATAGGAGCATCAACTCGAGGATCATCTTCAAAGAGAGCAGTATCTTCTTCCGGGTCTGGAAGTGGGGACGGCATTGGTGAAGAGTCACCATTGATATCACGCCAGAGCTCGACTTGTCTTCGACGAGATGGTTCCCGAGCATCAAGGAGACGTTGACATGCGTCTCTGCAGCGCTCACGTTCCCGGATGAGCTCTGGAGTCCAGCAATGGTAGAGCTCACCCTGGAGCATTCTTTCCTTGTTCTCCGAAATCGTCATGATGGGTTTATTGTCTTGGCTTTACTTCGGGTGCAATATTATTACAACTTGGACGTGATGTATAAGATATCTTATTTTTGGGTGTACCCGGTCACATACTCAAGGATGGACCATGCCTACATTACTTTACAGATGTGAGAAAAAGTATAGGGCTGATGACGTCGGTAATGATTAAGTTATGTGACTGTACCATTTTATGCAAATCCTTGGCGTTTACGGCACTTTTTGTACCGAGACTGAATTATAGACCGATCATGTCCCTAAGCTAAAGTCTAAAATACCCTCCGTTCAAGAAATGGAAAAAAGAAACACCAAATCTCACGAGTGTTTAATCACAACAAGTCATCAATTGCCCCATGTAAGCATTATCTTCTACCGACACATGAATTGATGCAAATGTGCTGACTGCTGATAGAGGACCGCGGGAAGGAAAACAAGCTTCACTTGTTACGGCCCGGAAACTCTCCTATCCTGCCATGCCTTGACAATTGACAGTCTTTTGGACCACACAGAAAGCCTCAATCATGAGTATGTCTTTGAAACGAGCTGCTCCAACAATCTCAATGTCTCTCCAAAACAAGCATGAAGAATGATGAATGAAGAATGAAGAATGAAAACATGGGGCTAATAATGGCTATCAGACGCAGAATACGCCCTGGCAGAAGCTATAGGTGGAGACAAAAATGAAAGTCTCGAAAAGCAGAGAGAACAGACGGCAGCTCTCGAGGGCCATGATGCAGATATGCCTACTGAAACACAGTCCATTGCCTCCACTGAAGCCTTTGCCACTCCCACTCAGGAATCGCATCCAATTTTTCCCTCCCACGCGCCATCACCAGCGCTTCCTGAAAGCCACAACGCTACCGCGACTGCGGAGACACAGTCTCTAGCATCTACCACCGACGCATTCTCAGAAGCTCCAGAACAACCCTCTGCTACAGCGTCTGTAGCAGCAGCATCCAGCGTACCTCCCCAAGGTCAACACGCCGGTCTATCTGCAATAAACAAACCCTCTCCGGCTGGTCTAGCACCTTCGACAATATCCCAGTGGGTTCCTGAAAAGGCCTCATCATCGCCTTCTGAAGATCGGATGACAACAGGTAGAACGGTACCGGCAGCGCTTGGCGGAGTAGGATTACCAAGCTTTGAGAAGGCTCTGATACCGGGACCGGACGAGAAAGATACACGGATAGCCCCCGGGGCAGCGTCAGGCTCCGCAACAAAAGCATATCTATCTGCGCCAGAGGCAATTTCATCAACGAATCTAGAGATAGTACCTGGTACGGCATCTAAAGCACCGACGTCAACAAAGCCTGAAGTAATACCAGCGTCAGTCCCAGAGACAGCACCAGACTTTGTTCCAGAAGCAGCACCATCGACAGATCCGGAGAAAGCATTTGACTCAGCTCCTGAAGCAGCCAGTAACACAGACCCAGAAAAGGTACTTATCTCGGCATTCCCGGTGCCAAATGGAAAAGCATCACCCGCTGGCTCCAGCTTGGAGAAAGAAATCGATCTTGAAGCGGGCCATCGCAGCGAAGACTCAGATAAGAAAGAGCCTGAGACAATAAAGACAGAGGCGGATCCGAATATAGTGGACTGGGATGGACCAGATGACCCCAAAAATCCCATAAATTGGTCCGAAAAGCTGAAGTGGGCCAACGTCGCGGTCATTGCATCCATCACCTTCTTAACGCAAGTGAACCTCCAAGCTTCTCCCATCGGGTACAAGATGCTAACAGATAACAGTCCCTTGGCCTCTTCCATGCTGGCACCTGCAGTTCCCGAAGTCATGACAGAGTTCAAATCGACCAATGAAGAACTCGCCTCTTTCGTCGTTTCCGTCTACATTCTTGGGTACGCCTTTGGTCCCATAACTATTGCTCCGCTTTCTGAGCTATATGGCCGTGTCCCCGTCTACCACGTCTGCAACGTCCTTTTCATAGTTTTCACGATTGCATGCGCTGTGTCGAGTAACCTCAACATGCTCATTGGCTGGCGTTTCCTACAAGGGACTTTTGGTTCATGCCCATTGACTATTGGTGGAGGGACGATATCGGATATGATCATTCAGCAGAAGCGAGGAGGTGTCATGGCTATCTGGGCTCTAGGCCCTTTGATGGGCCCTGTGATAGGACCTGTAGCTGGTGGATACTTGGCTCAAGCAAAAGGATGGCGGTGGATTTTCTGGGTCATCGCTATGGCGGTAAGCTTATACTCCTCCCTTTGTCAAGTAGGTGTCCTACCAACGATACCTTAGGCGGGCGTGATTACAATTTCAGCCTTCCTCTCCCTTCGAGAAACATACCCTCCCATCATCCTCGAGCGTAAGGCGAAGAAGCTCCGAAAAGAGACCGGCAACGAAAACCTCAGATCCAAGTTGGCATCTCCGCTTAGCCCAGCGGCCCTCTTTAAAGTCTCCATTGTCCGACCCATGAAGCTGCTGTTTTTTTCGCCTATCGTTCTGGCGCTGTCTACCTATATGGCTGTGGTCTACGGATATCTATATCTTCTCTTCACTACCATTACAGAGGTCTACGAAAATCAATATCATTTCAGTCAGGGCTCCGTTGGTCTGACGTACCTCGGCATTGGAGTAGGGTCGTTGTTTGGGGTGGTCATCTTTGGCATTGCAAGCGACAGGATTTTGAAGGCGAAGTCGAAGACGGGGGAAATGAAGGCTGAGTACCGACTTCCGCCTATGATTCCGGGGTCTTTCATTATACCCATTGGCTGTGTGTCTGCACCTTTTGGATGCTACGAGCGCCGTACTAACGTCATGCAGTGTTCTTGTATGGATGGACAGCAGATAAACATGTTTTCTGGATAGTTCCTATCATCGGTACTGGTATGGTTGGATTGGGCCTCCTCGCCACATTCATGCCCATTCAAACTTACCTCGTCGACGCCTTCACCATCTACGCCGCCTCCGCCCTTGCAGCTAATACCGTCCTACGCTCACTCATTGGTGCATTATTACCTCTGGCCGGGCAAAAGATGTACGCAACACTTGGTCTTGGGTGGGGAAACTCCCTGCTGGCATTCATTGCAGTGGCCATGTGTCCTATACCGATTATCTTCTACAAGTATGGTGAAAGGATAAGGAAGAGTCCAAGGTTTCAGATCAAACTTTAGGAACATTGTAAAGGTATCGTATTGTGCATATTTGATTCCTTCATCGGCGGCGCTTGAGAGGACTCTTGTAGTTGTTTTGGAAATGGCATGGCTTGCATATGAGCATTCCTATGGCGTCTTTCTCTTGGGATATAGCAACTTGGGCGTATATATTTCTTTTGAACGGTCTGGCATGGTGCTACTATTCAGAGCATAGCAGTATAGTACGGCGGGCGTCTAGTGTAAGAATAATACCGTTGCGGGAGCCGTTCGCTACTTCGGTCTGTACTACGGTTGTGGTGTCCGCTCTTCGTTCTTCGACGTTTCGGATGACTACTGCTGGTTATAGCTTCCGCTTCATTTCATTTCATTTCATTTCCATCAGAAAGTCGATTCGCCCAACCCCGTTCCTCATACCCTCTACTATCCCCACACCATTGTCTCTTCGACGCTCCCTCCCTCCAGTACCCCTCCAAAGCCTGATACCCTACCGCCTTGCGTGAGATTGTGTCCACATCCAGCTAACTAACAGTCGACTCCGGTCCGATGTTTGGCTTATAATCCCTTCATAGAGAGAGAGGGGTACATGTATGTGCAGAAGAGGATCTCACGGGGGGGTGCATAGGTCTTGTGGGTGGCTCTTTACGGCAAACGTGGCGATGTGGTTGGGGTGGATTGCATACAACGAAGGCGCGAAAGAAGGCCTGGTATGTTGAGTACGCTCCGCTTCAATATGGGAATAGATATCTTACAAAGCGACCCTCGGGAAATTTCTCTCCCTGCCTCCAACGCGAACACCACGCTTACTCGCCAAGACCAACCCTCTTCTCCTCTCCTCTCCTCTCCTCTCCTCTCCTCTCCTCTCCTCTCCTCTCCTCTCCTCTCCTCCCTCCCCTCCCTTCCCCTCTCCTTTCCTCTCCTCCCCCCCCTCTACACCCCCTCTTCCCCCCTCCGGCTACGCCCCGTAATCCGACGCGGATCCCGCACCGCATCGCCCGAATCTCTCGGATGGCGCATACCGCCTCGCTCTCCGCCACCGCCTTCTGCGTGACGTCCGTGTGGATGCGGTGGTGCTGAGGGTGGAGTGCGAGAGCGAGGATGAGGATGAGGATTGGGAGCTGCTGAGTGTGGAGTGTGAGAGTGAGGATGAGGAGCTGCTGAGTGTGAATGACGAGGCGGAGGAGGAGGGTGCTGGCGAGATCGATCGCCAGGGGGACGGGAATGAGGACTGCTGGAGCGGGGCTTTGTCAGAGAGGGGCGTCGGGAGTGCGGTGGCTGCTTTTGACGTTTGGGGGGTTGAGCTTGTGGGATGGGGGGACCTACTTGAGAACTCCCCGTGAGTCTTGGACCAGGTCCGGGTGTGTGGTTTGGGAACTCCTCGTCTTCAACATGGTAGGTTGGCATGCGCGACGGATGTTGAGGTTTTGGTCCGCCTGTTGGAGAAGAGTGTCCAGCTTCGGGCCCAGGGGTATGCGGTTGAGCTGTGTGGGGTCTTGGCGGTCCTTTGCTGTCAGGGGGTGGGTGTGAAGAGTCATATAGTCCTGCTTCATCGTCGTATTCCTGCATTTTCCCTGGAGGGCCCGGATAGTTGCTTGTTGAAGGGCCCGCCTGTCCGTTATTCTCCGATCGTGGAGCCTTGGGTCTTACCCATGCTTGTTTTTTGCGGTCTGGTACGCCGCCAAACAGCGCGACATGGAGGGAAGTACTGTTGCCCATAGTTGATATAGAGTGTTTTGCTGGTCGGGCAGCAGATTTGGTTGGATGGGAATGAGAAGGTAGAATTGATGGATGAGAGATCGGGGCCAGCAGAGGACTCTTAAAGATGAGGGAAGGAAGAAGCTTGCATTTTGTCTGATATATGTAGGTAGAGGAGCGATCATGAACAATAAAACAGCATGAGAACAGAGACAAAGGAGGTAAAGAGCAACAAAGGAAAGGGCAAAAGCATGAGTCTTCTGGGACAAAGGATCGGAGAGATCTCGACAAGGAAATTGTTGTGTCTGAGACCACGCGAGACAACAAAGGCAATGATAGCGCCCATGAAACTGGGGCTTCTAGTCAAAGACATCCCGTCCTAATCCCAGCCAGGTGGAAGGCTCAGGAGGGAGCAGACAACTCAAACAGGACAGGGGGCAGCGCCCATGATGCTCAGATGCTGCTTGTATGCTCAAAGGATGACACAGGGAATGCTGGAATCCCCCAAAAAGACGGGTACATGCAGAGGTTGGTCTAAAAGAATCTGTCGTAGTATCTCAGAACTTTTGGCGAAATAACTTTTTAAGTATGACCGTTCGTCTCTTGATGACCGTTCATGCCCAATACTTCCCTTCTTTTTCGGACCGACTTTGCGAGTATTTCGAGCACCTCTTCTGTAGTATCCCAACCAATGCAGGCATCTGTTATAGAGACTCCATATTTCAGGCCTTCTTTGCCTTCCTTGGGTACCTTTTGTGCGCCTGTTCAACGGTCAGCACTCCAGTTTGCACTTTCAATCGGTGCAAGCCCACCTTCGTTGATGTTACTCTCAATCATCACACCCATTATTGCCTCCTCTCCTCGCGCAATCTGTCCGGCCAAATCATTCACTACCTTTGGTTGGTTTCGGTGATCTTTCAGCGAATTGCCATGACTGCAGTCGACCATCAACCGTTGTCGCAGTCCTTTCTTTCCCAGCGCCTCCTTCGCTTCTTGTATACTCTTTTTGTCGTAATTCGTCCCTTTCTTCCCACCTCTTAAGATCACGAAGCAATCCTCGTTGCCCATAGTCCCAACAATAGCGACCAAGCCAGGTTTTGTGACGGATAAGAAATGGTGAGGATGCATGACAGCTCCTATAGCATCTATGGCAACATCCAGAGTTCCATCTGTGCCGTTCTTGAAGCCGACCGGGTAAGATAATCCAGATGCCAATTCTCGATGTAGCTGAGACTCTGTCGTTCTCGCTCCAATGGCGCCAGTGCTTAAAAGGTCTGCCAAAAACTGGGGCGATATTGTGTCCAGCATCTCGCTAGCCAACGGCATGCCTTTTTCTGTCAGATCCACAAACAACTGCCTCGATATTCTCAGTCCCTTGTTGATGTGAAAGCTGTTGTTGATGTCGGGGTCGTTGATCAGCCCTTTCCACCCAACTGTGGTCCGAGGTTTCTCGAGATAAGAGCGCATGACTATCAATAGGTCGCCAGCATATTTTTCCTTGAGTTGCATAAGACGGTCAGCATAGTCGAGGGCGCCGGCTGGATCGTGTATCGAGCACGGGCCGATGATGACGAGCAGGCGACGGTTGGGATCTGTATTTTGAACAATAGATACGACTTCATTTCGACCCGATAGAACTGTATCTTTGGACCTAGGAGTCTAACCATGGTGAGTCTTTGAGATTGGGGTGATGGCGAGGCTCGTACTTGTGCTATTTCATGTTGGAGGAGATCTGGTGGTGTCAAAGGGTTTATCCCTCTTACTATGGCCTATAAGCTTGGGTCTTTAATGTAAAAGGCGAATCTCGCACTTCTCCAGTCCTCAACGCGGTCTTTGTTCCCCAAATGCGGATTTTCGACGTGGAACTTGCCCAAACGTTTGTCAGAAGCCATTGGTAGAGCCCATTGGTTGCAGAGTACTCACAGAAGAACCCATAGACATGTTTTTATTTTTGTCGACTGTGAGATGTTCTGGGAGTAGAGAGTGAAATAGAAGTTGCAGGCGGTGAGGGAGTCGAGGGAGTCAGAGAAATTTAAATCAGGCCGATGCAAACCGTGTTGCAGCAAAATCCCATGCTGAGTCAGCATTGTCTCGATCAACCAATCAAATGTAACAGACATCTAAAGCCAACCAAAGCAGCATCTCGCCAAGCATCACAATATCTCCTCGTCGCTGACCTCAATCTCCACTCTCCACTCCATCGCGGCGACCACGTCCATTGTCGAGTCATTTCTTTTGTATCAAGTCTGCCCAGACGGCGTCATGTTGGCACGTTCAGTCCTGCGCTCCGCGCGTATGGCTGGCAATGCCCGCAGCTCGCTGGCGCGAACAGCGACCGTAGTCCATCCCTCGATCCATTGGCAGCCACGGACAAGCTAATCTTTCCTCAGCGCTCTACCACCTCCTCATCCATAGATGCTGCGTCAGAAGCTGCTGCCTCTCCTTTCCGCCTGACGGTAGCTGGGACGGCTACCACTGCCCTAGCTCTCGGATCAATGGCGTGGTACTATCATCTCTACGGGCCCACTCTATATGCAATGACACCGCAAGAAGAAGGGTACGACCATTACTCAGCAGGGCCCCGAACATTGTGCTGAGCATGACTGCAGACTTCACCCCACTAAATACCCGTGGGAACATGAGAAATTCACAAAGACCTTCGACCACCAAACGTACGCCTTTCCTTCTTCAATTACCGCGAGCTTCGCTAACAAATGACAGCCTACGACGTGGCTTCCAAGTCTACCGCGAAGTCTGCTCGTCTTGTCACTCCCTCAACCGCATCCCTTGGCGATCACTTGTCGGCTCCTCCCATACCGTCGACGAGATGAAAGCTATGGCTGAAGAGAACGAATACGACACCGAGCCCAATGATGAAGGTGAGATCGAGAAGAGACCAGGGAAGCTGTCGGACTATATTCCTGCACCCTACAAGAACGACGAGGCTGCCCGTGCGGCGAACAATGGAGCGCTCCCACCGGATCTCAGCTTGATGGTGAAGGCTAGACATGGAGGCTGCAACTACATTTTCTCCCTATTGACTGGGTACCCGGAGGAGCCGCCTCCAGGCGCGACGGTGGCTCCTGGATTGAACTTCAATCCCTACTTCCCTGGCACTGGTGAGCCTATCTGCGGTCTCCGGTATAGAGCAGGAAGCTGACATCGTTTGCCAGGTATTGCAATGGCTCGCGTCCTCTACGATGGTCTCGTCGAATATGAGGATAACACACCCGCTACAACATCCCAAATGGCAAAGGATGTGGTGGAATTCCTGAATTGGTCCGCGGAGCCAGAGATGGACCAAAGGAAGAAGATGGGTATAGCTACCGTTGTGATTACAAGCGCATTACTAGCTCTAAGCATATGGGTGAAGAGGTTCGTCATTCCATGATACTTGCAAAGAGTCGTGGCTGCTAACCGTCCTACCCCTAGATACAAATGGGTTCCAATCAAGACAAGGAAAATCGTTTACAACCCTCCCATCCGTGGAAATCCTGGAGATCGTTCGTCTGCTGGGCATTAGGGTGCTAATCTTGCAGCGGTGGGGTTCTGAAGCAATAGAGGAAAAGATTGTACAATCGGCGTGTATATATCATCTAGGGCTCAGCAGCTGCATGCTTAAGAGGTTCCAGCGGTTCATTGCATCTGTGATCATTCCTTCAATTGTGGTGATTCTGGCTCGGCAGATTCGACCGCACTGAGGCATTCTCTTCTCTGCCCTTACGAATCCACTTGTTGAAGTATCTCTAGAGCCATCGGCGACTCCTTCCCATTTTCCCTGATTGGACTTTGGAACTTCATACAAGGCTTGGACTCATCAGCAGGCAAACTGAAGGGGAGCCCCAACTTTCTTACCCACACACATTCGCCTCTCCCTTGATCACTCCAATCGGTAGTCGAAAGGATGACCGTCTCGGCAATAGCACCCTCAAGCCTCTGCCCATGCAAAAGCTCCGGGACCGTCATGTCATGACCTCAGTGTCACGTAGCAATTGCCGCCAACCAGCCGCAGCAGCATTGTTTCGTAGCAGTCCAATTCCTCTCTCTTTCCTCCCTTCCTCCCCTCACTTCTTTCCCCCCACCCCAACCTCTCCCCCGACCCGCCGTTCCATCGTCTGACTTATAAACCCCCGAATCGCAGCCCACCGATCCGCACTCCCCCTCCCCTTCTTCGTCCCCTCGCCCTCTTCCCTCCCATCCACAATCATCACCCCTCCGTCCGCGTCCGCAGGACCAGGAACGGAAACACGCCCCGCCGCCATCTGCGCCAAGTTCCTCGCAAACCGCTCCCGCTCCATCGCCACTAGCTTCTCCTTCTTCTTCCCGGCGCCGGGTCTACTCTTGAGGGTTCTGTGCTTGATCTTCCTCGCCCCGTCCTCGCCACCTCCTTCGGCCACGATACCTTCCCATGCTTCTTCTCCGTCACCGTCGGTAGCTCTCGGCAGGGCGTCGGCGAGAGTGTCCAGACCCGTAACGAGTTTCTTGCTCGGCCGTCTCCGTTTGGTGACTTTGGACGTAGCGGCGGTGGGCTTGGTGATGCGGGAGAGGAGGGTGGCGTGTTTGGAGATGCGCTTTTCGCGCTTGCGGCTGGGGGCTTTGGCGGGTTTGTGGGGGTTTTTGGAGGGCGCGGTCGGTGGGCGGGGGGCCTGGGTGCGTTAGCTTGACCTAGACAAGATGTAGGACCGTACCATTGGTACACGCCCCGTGTGGTTCGGTGTAGAACTTGTGAGGTGAATGGCAAGCTGAAGAAGGTACGCAACTTTGGAAATTATGAAGTGTGATTTATCAGCGAACGGTTCAAATGCGTCACGTGGTCGATCAGCCTTGGCGTTAAGCGGAATTTACCGATTCCCTGATCATTGAGCACCTTCCAATACACTTTGTATTTTGTTGCTGCCTACGATGTTTATATTGTCTATAATTTCTCCGCGATTCCCCTGAGGAAAAACTCTGCATGCCAACGGAGAAGCTGTATACTACTTTTGGCTTAGTCCCCCCTATACCACAGATACGCTGAGGTCTGCTACGCCTGAGGGGCAGAGCGTGAAGGTAGTGACCAAAGAGGATCATGATACTCAAAAAGGCGGTCAACGAAATTGGCTAAGCGTTTCCCTCCCCTACCTGGAAGGTCCACAACGAAAGAGGGTGTCATGAAGCCTGCAATCGTACCGCGGATGTTTCTTTCGAGCTCGAGAATCTCCTATAAGTGCGTGCGGAGGTCTTCCAGGCCGCGTACCATGTCGCCTTGGTATACGTAATACTGAGCTCGAGTAAGTCTCTTGCACATCAGGGGTAAAAAGAAACTGGGACTTAAACAGCATTTTGTCTTACCGGTTGGGTATTGAGCTATGCGAGATCTCGAATCAACTGTTGCATCGTAGCAAGATCGCTGTTTACGCCTTTCAGAAATACCGTTTGATTTCGCACTGTGACTCCGATTTCGAAAAACTTCTGAGCAGCCGACGACGTGATCCAAGTGACCTCGTTGGGATGGTTGAATTGGGTGTGCAGAGCTACACTTTTTCCAATATTTCTTCCCGGGTCCAATGGCTGAATTACTCTTTTCGCCCAGGAATCGATTCCATCAAGGATAAGACTGGGACAAACGGCAAGACCTTTGCTAGCTAGACGAATCCTTTGTACATGAGGAAATGAAAGGAGTCGGTGGTCTATGTTGTCTAATTGAGCTGGCTCGAGGGAGGAAGTGTCTCCTCCAGGTATCATAACATCGTGAAGCGAAGGTGTTCGTTCAATATACTCAAACATCTTCCCCCATTTCTTCTGTATTGGCAGGAACCGCGTCTTTGACACTGTTCCAATTTCGATCCCCACCGAGTATGAGCGTGTACAGAACCGACAGTATACTGGACATACCGAGCTTGCTAGTTGTTTGGTAAGAGTATGTTTCAGCAAGATATCCTGAGAGACAAACCAAGAAAGAGAGCTTTGTCTGGATATCAGTGGACTAAGCCTCGTACCGGAGAATCGTCTCTTTCCGATAAGGAATCCAGGCGAAGCTTGGGGTGGTCTTCCTGGCTTGTAGAACCAAGAGGTATGAATTGTTTCCTGGCCGGGTCTTCCATTGGCTTTCTCCAGTCTATAACGCTCAGTACGTGAGGTGTTAGGCGAACTGACATTGGTCCTCGACTCAAGCCTCTTTGCACGTCTTTTATAATTCGTTTGGCGCCCACATCTTCTGCTGCTCTGAAGTCGTTATCTCTTTTGGTAGAACGATGCCAAAAAATTGTAAAGCTGCCGTGCATTCAACACGGAGTTGGCAACCTACTGATCTTGTCATTGCAAGAAACATCTTGGAGAAGCCGGGAGTTCTAGATACCTGCCAGCGATACTTTAAGAAATCCTGAGCTTCGACGTCCTTCCAGCGCGGAATCTCGTGCCAGTACAGAGATGAGGCATCGTAAAGCGAGGAAAATCGTGCGGTTCCTCTATGGCAATTGGAAAGCGCAGGACTGGAGTGAACCAACAGTCTGCATTCCACCTTGTGGAAGGCCTTAGGCTTAGAGCAGAAGCACAGAACATCTACGGTCGCTTCAAATGGTGTGTGAGGTAACAGCTAGGCCAAGGCGTTGTCCCTTTGCCACGGGATGCATTGGTCAAGACTTTGTTGAAACGATGCAAGCATTGGAAAGATGAAGGAAAAAATCGACAACGGCGGCGAGTGTACAAAGCAAGCCGTTTTTGCGGCGGCCGCTTGAGGAATATCTCCGAAAAGTCAGCCGATGTGTTCTTCCTGCCGCTATATTCAGCTAGTCCTCCTTTAAATGTCGAAGACCTGCTCGTGCAGCATGTCTGACCTTCGTAATAGAAACTCTTTCATCGATGCGAGTACTTCCAAGATATCCTCATAGCATCTTGATCGCCTGGATGGTGGTACCATCAGTGACTATCTATGCCGCGTCTTTCTAAGCCTGAGCTATTGATTCTATCAGCCACATCAACTCATCTGTATGTCCTCTGCTAAAAAGCATCAGATACCCAAGCCACCTTCCATTGCGCACGACATGTATCTCAAGAAATCATCGAGTCCGCGTTATCTACATGAGGCGTTCTGGTAATTTTGGGCAGCTCGTATGGTTGCGTCAAGCCCACAGCGAAGCCTCCCGCTACACCACCCATGGGATTACCAACTGGCGCAAAAAGACGGCGACGGCGGTGACGATAATCTCGTTGATCGTTATGTGGGCGGGTAACGAGGCATGGAGATGGGTAGTCTCGCAACGCTTACGCTTTGGCGTGGCCCGAGAAGCTGGATTGGGCGGAGTTTTGCGGTAGGCGAGTTTAGGTGCTTGCTTGCGGCCTCGTTTGGCATGGCTGAGAAAGTGTTGGCTGATGATGGCTTTGTGCCTGTTATAGGAGGAGGGATTACTGCTGAGCCCAAGAATGGGTTGAACGTGAGGTTGAGTTCGAGGTCTTGGGGGTGAAAGGGAGAGGAGGGGGAGGATAAGGTGGCGTTTTTGGTTTTGGATGGGCTGATAGTATTGTTCATTGGTTCTCTACGTGTTCTTTTTGCGGGGGTGGAGTAGATAATAGCTACTTAAAAGGCGAATACTAGCGGCTCTGGCGAATGGCACTCAAGTCGACGTCCCTCGGATACTACCATACAATGCACCTAGGTATAAACACCGCTACTCCCACGCCTTGAACCGAAGAGGTACGCGAATCCCAGAGCCCACTATCAAAAATAAAGATAGGACACTTAGTTGAATTAGCTATATGTGCTACCAAGGAAAGTAGCGAACGCGCCAAGCGGAAGCTCAATAGATATCGTTAGAACGGTTGTCGATAACTCAGATTTGCGATAACACTAGAGTGATACTGTCAACAGCGGTAGAGCAGAGAGCATTTGGAAAGCATTCCGGGACCGTACTCCACGGATGGTGCTAGACCAGCATCCTGGGTGTCAAGCGAGAGAGGGCGTGCTGATTGTAGAGGACCTTGAGCCCAAGTCCCCGCATGTCAAGCTTCTGGTCATACCACACTCTTGCGATAGCGTCAAGCGCAGGTGGGATATTCTGTCGGTCATCCATGGATTAAAACTTAGCACCGATGATGGCGGCGTTCGATGGGAGTGGAGCGCTAGGTTTGCTCCCACCTGCTCCCATCCCAAACACGACCGACTCTTCGCCTATGTCGATCATCAGCATGGGTAATTTTGCAAATACGGCTCCGGTGAAGCTTGGACTTCATGGCAATAGAACTGGCATTCAATGTAAGCTTCGGACTCCATGTCAGTTGCAATCACTGACTGGCTTCAGACTGCAACCCTCAAGATTTATCAAAGGCTTGAGATCGACCGAAGTCTCTCATGGCTGAAGCAAAATGACAATTCCATACTGGACGCGAGACAGATCCCTCGCAACAATATCCAAGATAGCTAACCAGGCTGTCACTATACAATCCTCGCCCGAGACGACGCTATAAAATTGTGCCTTCATTGGGACATTTCAAGATCTAAAACCTTGCACGCCGAGCCGGTCGCCGCTGCGGCAAAGATGGTGTAATGAAAAAGGAATGAACGTGGGCTCTGGGGACCAAATGGTCGTTGATCAATACTTCTGTCATCATGTTTCTCACTTTGAACGCCTTGGAGAGATCGAACCCGCGGAGATGGACACCGAGAATCACTCGTCCAGCCGAAGGAGCAAAACCAGCAATCCGTCAATACTCTTTTATCACAGAACAAAGAGTACGATTCAGAGAAGCAGGCATGGCGGAAGAATCCCTGTTGAACTCCGTCAAAAACTGCTTTGATAGTAGCCATTTTTTAGTGACTTCGCTCGTTCCATGGCCTCATAAGGTAGTATTCGTACTGTAGCCGCTATTTATATGTTCTGGCTGCAGCTGAAGCTGAAATGACAGGGATTGAGACATTTGGAGAGGACGTCGACTTCAGTACGTCGTGCTCGTCGTACTCTACTGTGTACTTGAATGCAGCTTGAAGGAGACAAAGCCGGCCTCAAGTTCCCGATATACTGGAAGGTAGATAGGTGACATCTTGGTGTTGTGGAAAATCGAGGAGATGAGTCTGATAGACAGAGTACGGTGAGTCTAGCGTTGGGGCTAATACAAGTAAGGTGGGGCAAAATGCTGTTGTCTTCCGAGCTGAACCCTAAGAATCTTGCCCTAAGGTATTCCTGTGGTCATCTACTATTTCACCAGTCTTTCGTCTTTCTTCCTCCCCAGTCACCTCTTCACTGCCTTCTCATGCATTCTTGCTACAGTCCAGAAAGCGAGCCTCAAGATGCACCTATCAAATGATGCCGTGCTGAGGCTTCGAGCCCAGATTGCCTCCCTCGAAGGCACACTAGCAGACCTGAAAACACAACTCCAAGACGCTGAAGCCTACTACAACCAGATCACATCTGCCAAAGCTGACGCCAATGGCCACTCGCAGACTCAGCCTATCTCGTCCTACCCAGTTCCCTCAGTCAACTACAACGAGAAGACTTTTGAGAGTCTTGTCGAACAATTAAAGTTGCCTCAAGAAGACAAATGGGGTCGGAGCTGGGAGTTAACGTCGGAAGAGCACAAGAGGTATGGAAGGCAGCTGATAATACCCGAGATTGGTCTGACAGGTGGGCCCAGCTCTTTGAAAAACAACGTGCGCCTTTCTCTTACACGAATCGACAACAGGACAACTACGACTTAAAAATGCCTCGGTCTTGATCGTCGGTGTGGGAGGTCTAGGATGTCCAGCCGCCACATACCTTGCGGGTGCCGGAGTGGGAAAGATCGGCCTCATCGACGGTGATACGGTGGAGCTTTCCAACCTTCACCGTCAGCTACTACATACCGAGAAGTGGCTTGGTCTGGGGAAGGTGGACAGCGCTGTAGAAAATTTGATGGCGTGAGTCAAGGGAGGTCTCCATTACCCACGCATGCTGACCAGCTTAGGCGGAACCCGGAGATTAAGTACATTACTCACTACTACTACTTGGATCAGAAGTTAGCCGTTGAGACCATGCGAAAGTACGATCTCATCCTTGACTGTACAGACCGTCCTAGTACCCGATACCTCGTATCAGACGCAGCCGTGCTAGCGGGAAAGCCTATGGTCACAGCGTCTGCTTTACGTACGGATGGACAGCTCATGGTTCTCAACAACCCTCCAAAAGGACACGACCACCCAGGCGGCTTCTGCTACCGCTGTGTGTTTCCAAAGTCTCCGCCAGCGGAGACGGTCTTGTCGTGCGGCGAAGGTGGTATACTGGGTCCTGTTGTTGGAGTTATGGGTGTTCTTATGGCTATGGAGGCTCTCAAAATTCTTTCGCCTTTACCTCAAGAGAATGAATACCAATATCCGACGGAAGCGTCAAACGACACTGTTCCTCCATCACTACTGCTATACTCCGCCTACAGTAATCCTCCTTTCAGAAGCATCAAATTGCGAGGGAAGAGAAAGGGATGTCCTAGCTGCTCGGACACAGCAACTATCACCGAAGAATCATTAGGGTCTGCATCTTTGGATTACGACGCTTTCTGCGCATCGAGGTCTCCGGCAGCGCCGATCAGCGCAAATAGGATATCTGCCAAGGAATACAGCGAGATCAGGAAAGCCACCGGAAGTCCCCACATTCTCGTCGACGTGAGAGAGAAAGTCCAGTTCGACATCTGCCACCTCAAGGGAAGCATGAACCTCCCTTACTCAGAGATCAGCCGAAATCCAGAGGCGAGTATCGACAAGTTGGACGACACCATCACTAGCGACCCCAACATCGCCGACGGCGTATCATTATACCTCATCTGTCGGTACGGGAATGATTCGCAGCTGGCGGCGAACAAGTTCAAGGACCTATCACGGTCTCGGCCTGATGCCAAATACGATCTTATGGGAGATATATCAGGTGGACTGCGAGCGTGGAGGCAGTCGGTCGATCCCAATTTTCCGGAGTATTAGGCACTCATTCGCGCAAGGCGTTGGGCGTCGAGGCATTCACGACAATCCCGAGAACATGAATGGCTTGTTGCAAGTGAGGGGGTGATAGATATGTTTGCACGATCACGGGAGACCCAATGCATTTAGCAAGCGAAGGAACTCATTGGATATGTTCTTCATTGTATCTATGCTGACTATGCTACAACACTGGCTAAATAGTCTACTTAGCTACAACAGTATAGAATAGTGGCAGAGCTCTATTATTGTAAAAGCCGTTGTATGACCTATCAGGTTCGGAACCATGGTCCAACATGCGCGGTCTTTCCAAGTCCATCCATCGCAAACCAAGTGTAGCCGTCTAGTCATCTGGATCGTAAGCTCGTCGCTCGATACGCCTTTCCCATGCTCCTCAACTCGGTCTGACGATCATCACCTCAGAGCTCAAACTGTCCGAGTTGTTGTCCGAGTTGTTGTCCGAATTATGATCCGAGTTGTTGTCCGAATCATGATCCGAATCATGATCCGAACTGCCATCAGAGTCGCTATCCGAGTCCTTGTCGTCCTCGGCATCAAATGCTTCGTTCAAGGCTCCAGCGCTGCTCTGCGCCTTTGCCGGGCTGGCAGTAGGTGGGACAGGCGCTGCAGTATTCGAGACGCGGGTCGTGCCACCGTGTTCGTCTTCGCTTTCGTCGTCCGAGCTGTCATCCTCTGCACCGTCAAGAACGCTTCGAGCCTGATTGTGGGACGGCTCTTGCGGCCTGGCTTCAGCAGTGACGGCTCGACTGCTTGGTGTCACGTGATTCTGTCTTACAACTATGACTCCTGAGCTGATACTGTCGGTGGACGATTGGCGAGCAAGTTGGTCCTCGCTTTCGCTGTCCTCCGGGTCGAGTAGCTGCGACGCTGGAGAATGCAAAGCCTTGATCGCTGTCTCTTTCGCTACTGTAGCCTTTGGAGCAAAGTAGTCCGTGATGTCTTTCGCTTGTTGTAGACCCGCGAAGCCGATCTTGCTTGTGGATGAGGCTTGAGAAGAATGTGATGGAGCGCTTCCCGGCACGGGAGATGGCTTTCTCTTTTTTGGAGCGGAGGGCATGATCCTGGATGTTTGAGAGAATGTCGTATTGGTTGCTTGTGAAGGCGCATGCCTACTTGCTGAGGAAATTGAAGGCTGAGGCTTACTTGCTGTAGAGCCACCCAAGGATTTGATATGACTAAAGCTCGTACTCGGAGGGAAATGGGGCGTAAGGCTGACTCTTCTCGGGATGGATTTGGCTGGCGATAGCGATTTGGCAGGCGTAGCCTTGGCTGGTTGACGCCGAGGAGAGTGAGAGACCGTGATACTGTTATTGAGATATGATGCAGGAACTTTGGCCGAGTTGTCTTGCGGGAGTAATGTTTTTCCGGGTAGCGGTTCAGATGGGACAGACTGTGCCGGTAATGGCTTAAGCGGACGTGGAGTTGGTCCCATCAATGAGTCAGACGATGAGGAATCAAGGCTGGACGAGCGGATATGGGTATGAAATTGTCTGACTAGAGCGGTACTATCATCGGGAGTGGGGCTGGGTTTAGACTGTCGGTGAGGAATGGTGCTGCCCTTTTCAGAGTGATCAGGGCCATAGACTCTGGCTTGGAATTGTCTGAGTAGAGCGGCACGGTCGTCGGCGATAGGATCTGGGGACGTCTCCGGAAGTGTTTTAGCCCTCTTCGTTGGTTGTGGCGATCCCTCGCCGCCGTTAGCGTCAGAACTGAGGTCAATGAAAGCATTGCTTGTGTCTAAACGCCTTTTCTTCGATGGTGCTACGAGATCAATAGATTGATCTCTCGATGTCACGTCTTCGGTGTCTGACTGGCCAAGACCGCTTGCAGCGACCATTGAATACTGAGGTTTAGGGTCGCCTAACATGTCGTCGCTTTCCGACTCTGCGCCAGGGGTACTTTCGAGCTCTTGGGGTTGGGGCCCATCGAAGGAAGGAATCACAACGGAAAGGTTCTTCTGAAGTGGTGGTCGACCGCGACCTTTCTTGGTAGCAGTCGATGTTTCAGATAGAACAAATGGTTTCAACGTGAGTTTGTAGGCCTTCTTCTTATGCGGACCTCGATTGTGGGAACCCTTTGGGCGGCCAAGCTTCTTCTTGATGGAGATGGAACCCTCAGGTAGAAGTGATTGTTCCCTTGATGTCTCTTGGCCAATGGGAGCTATGTTGAAAGATGGCACTATGCTCTCACCTTTTCGCGGTCTCCCACGAGGCTTTCTGGGAGGCAGAAGTCTTTCTCTCTCATCTTCGGCAAAGAAGTCATGGTTTTCGAAGCGTTCTATCTCTGCTGGTGAGACGTGGTCAAGTATGTTGGCTACAGGAACCTCTTCGGCGTCACGAGTAATAACACCATCAATCTGGGTCCCAACAACGAATGAGATATTGCCATCCAAGAGTAGAAAGCGAGATATGATGACTCTGCGTGATCTCTCGTTCTGTCCAGTTGCGCCATGTGGCAGACTGCTGTGAACTTGTGGAGGTGGCCTTTGATTTGGAATGTACTTTGGCTTGGTTGGTATTGAGACCTAATAAAGAATAAACAAATGATCCCATCCTATATATAAATCAAGATCAAGGATTCGTCTTCTGGGTAAAGCTTACACTTGATAACCTCAGGCCGCGAGCTTTCAATGATGAAGTTGTAGATGAATATGATAGGCTGGTGGGCCACCCGCGCGATCGGCCGAATTTAGGGACGCCAAATCGACCGTCCGTGAGGTCTTGAATCGCAGTACCTTGAATAGCCTTCAAAGGCGAACCTTTGAAGCTGTAAATATCATCGCAATCTCTAAGGCATCGTGAGACTTACTGAGAGCATAATTCATTGCTGTTGTCGCAATTGATTGGAAGCAAATGATTTAATAAATAAGAACCAAATGAGAAAATTGAGTTTAATCCCTTGAACGAGCTATTCAATATTTTATCTTTCGATATTGTTATAAAGAATAGTCTAGATTATTATTAAAGAGATTTTTATTAGAAATGTTAAAGAAAAGAGAAAGTTAAAAGCTTAAATTTTTTTTTATTAGTTTTAAAAATTAAACTTTTAACTTCTAGAGACTAAAACTTTACTATTAAGACTAATTATAAACGATTATATTAATAAATTAAGTTATTTATTTTACTAAATACTATTTTAAATAGTTCTATAAAAAAAACTTATTACTATTAAAAATTTAAATAATATTCTATATTATATTATTATATAGTAATATTAAATAAAATAAAATAGAAATATACGAAGTAATATTACTATTTTCGAGATTAAATACTTTTTAATAATATAAAAGATAGAATTTTATAAAAGATATTATATATTAATATTATTAATTAAAAAGCTTACTTTCTTATAACTTAAGATTAAAATTATAAAATATTCGATAATTATAAATTTTAAATTAATTAATTAGATCTTTAAATTTCGTAATCTTAAAGCTAAAACTTATTTTATTTCTTTATTTCTAAGTTAAAAGCGGGTATATACGAGTATATTTAAAAGAGAAAGTTGAAAAAGAATTTTAAAATTCTTAAATCTATCTTTTTTAATTGCTTTTTTTTAATTAAAAATATAATAATAAAGTAAATTTATAAAGTTATAGAGTTAATTATACGCTTTTAAATAATATAGCGTATCCGAGATTTAATAAAGTATTCGTAAAGATATACTAAAAATTAGTAAATTATCGAGCTTGCGAGAAGAGCCTCTCCGGTAGAAGCCCTCGGAGAGCCCTCGGAGAGCCCCCGGAGGGTTAGGGGGGTTTTAGAGAGTCTCCCTCTAAGGATATCAAATAAAATATAACGTCTCTCGATTCTTAGAGTTAAACCTCTTAAAATCCCTTAAGTTCTTCGAAGAGTTCTTAAAGAATTAGAGGGGTTTTAGAAGATCTTCTTCTAAGTATATGAAATAAAATATAATATCTCTCGATTTCTAGAATTAAACTTCTTAAAATCCCTTAAACTTTTTAAAGCTCTTTAAGGGCTCTTCGAGAGCTTATATCGGAGAGGCTATTAAAGCAAGCTCGAAATTAATTAAATATTATTAAAATAATTAAATTTCGAGCTTACTTTAATAGCTCCTTCGATATAAGCTCTCGAAGAGCTCTTAAAGAGTCTTCGAAGAATTTAAGAGATTTTAGAGAATCTTTCTAAGAATTAAATATATTAAAAATTAGTACTCGATAAGCTTTTTACTACTAAAAAGCTCGCGCTCTAGTATATATTTAATTATATAATAGATTATTATTAGACGAACTTATATAATTAAATATAAGTAGATTTAAAGTTATATAGTAATATAAATTTAATAATAGATATATATATATTTATATATATAGATCTTATAATAAGATTAATTCTTATAAAAGTAAAAAGAAAAATAAAGAATATTACTCTTTTAAGCTTCTATATTAAGTTTATATATATTAAGAGTCTTAATTATATTACGACTTCGTCTAATAATTAAATTTTCTTTAAAAATCTTAATTAATATTATCTTCTTTCTTTAAGAATTTATTTTTAAATTTATATTATATCTAAATTATAAATATTAGAAAGACTTATTAAAATTCTTTAAATTTTAGAGAGAATATAAGAAAAAGAGTTTTTTTTAAATTAGCTATATATTAATATAGTATAATTTATAACTTTTTAAAATATTAAATATTACTCTTAAATATTATAATATTAATTTATAAATTATAAAAGCTATATAATATATACGCTTTTATTATATTTTTATAGAATATTATAAAGTAATTATATATATAGAGTCTATTATTAATAATCTATTATTTATTATTATTAAAATTAATTATTATTATTATTATTAAGATACGTTATATTATCGCGTAGTATATATTTATTAATATCTAAAGCTCGCGATTATTAGAATTTATAAATATTATTAAATATAACTTCTTTATTTTATTTAAAGTTTTTCTTTTTATTAATACTTTATTAGATATTATATTAATTATTTATTTTATTAATTTAAAGCGTATAAATAATATTATCTCTTTATACTCTTTTTATATATTATTAAATTTTAAAATAATCGCTATTTTTATAAATATAATAATTAAAGATTATAAATATATTTTTAATATATTTATAATTCGCTTAATAATTAATTACTATATACTTTATTAATTTTATATCTTCTTTTAAAAAGAATATTTATTATTATTATATTTATTATAATTTTAAATATAACTTTAAAATCTATAACGCTTATTTTAATAAGTATAGAAATATATTTAAAAAGTATAATATTTACGCTTATTAGCGTAGTAACTATATCTCGATATAATTATATTATATATTTAAATTTATAGCGAATATAAAATATTAGCTAATTTTATTCTTAAAAGATATTTATTTATTTTAAGATTATTAAAATTATAAATATAATATTATATACTTATTCGCGCTATTAGCGTATTATATTATATAAGCTTTAATCTAATAAACCCTTTTTTATTACTCTTTAATAATTAAAAAATATTATTATAATTATAAATATAATATTTATATAATATTAATATATATTAAATTATTTTAAAGAATATAAGAAATTTTATTTTATTATAATCTAATTAAATTAAATAAAGACTTTATAAAATATTTTAGATATAATAATCGAGATATATAATATTATATATTTCTTAATAATTATTTATATTCTTATAATATATTTTATAAATATAATATATATATTAATTATATATCTAGATTAATCTATCTCTTTTTAATTATTTATTTTTTAATCTCTTTATATTATTAAATATAAATTTAATTAAATTTATTAATAATAACGATAACGACGATTTAAATAATAATATTATTTTTTATAAATTTACTAATTATACGCTTATTAGCTCGCCTTTATCTTATTTATCTAAAAAATTATCTAATAAATATAATTCTCTTACTTTTTTTTTTAAGAATTAGAATAAAAATAAGAAGATAAAGAATATAATAATTATTAATACTCTAATAGTATAATTAAATTAAATTATAAAATCTCAACTATATTCTATTTATATTAAAGCTTTAATTTATATAATTTTTAATTTAATTTTAATAACTATATTATATCTTTAGATATATAGATTTTTATATATATTTATTATTACTATATCTTCGAGTATATTAGATCTTACTATTTTTAAAATTATTAATTTTTAAACTCTTTTTTATATTTATATTTATTATACTCTTCGCTTATATTTATATAACTTTAACTTCTAGAAAACTATATATAACTTCTTTATATATTTTATATTCTTCTTAATAATTTATTAATTATATTCGATAAAATATCTAATCTATTAAATTAAATACTTTACTTTATCTTTTCACTTATACTTATTTAATATCTTTTCTACTTCTTATTCTTCGATATTATTAATAAATTCTAAAATAATATATTTAAATATATTATTATTATTAACTTTTATTTATAAAGCTTTAAAAGAGATATATAAAAGATATTATAAATTTAATAAATAAGTAATAACGCTAAGCGATATATTTAGATTTTAATATAATTTCGAATAATAAATAAATTAATAATCTTATTTAAAAGCTTCTTATTTAGTCTTTTTTATTTAAGATTTTTTATTAATAATATTATTAAGTCTTCTTTTTTAAATACTTAAAATTAATATTTCTTATTATAAATCTTTATTTACGATTTAATAAATCTATATTATCTATTCGCTAGCGATTCGCGTAATATATAAATCTTCTTTATATATTCTTTTAATATTAATATCTTTTTTTTTAAAATTACTATTCTTAATAATTAAATTTAAAATTAGATTATAATTATATATTATATAGAATAAATTATATTTTAATATTTTATATTCGCTTTATTAATAAATAAACTTTATAATTAATAAGAGTTTTATCTAATTATTCTATCTTTTATTATAATAGATTTATAAGTAATACTTTAGCGTCTAATTCTATTATTTAATTTAATTATTAATTTAAAAATAAAATACGATACTTAGCTTACGTTTTATCTTCTATTAAAAGTAAATTTTTAATTAGAATATACTCGTAAAGACGAAACTATAATTAGATATAATATTATTTAATAAATTATATTTTAAAATAATTTTCTTATAAAATAGATTTAATAATTATATTATATTAATCTTTTTAATTATAAAAAGATATCTTATTATCTTAATATATCGATTTATTATAATAAATATTATATTATAAATATATTTATTATACTTATTTAATAATAGATTAATAATAAAATCTATTATAATTTCTTTTTAAGGTTCGCTAGATTAAGGAAACGTATTTAATTTATTATAAAAACAATATCTTTTTATCTTTACTCGCTAATAGATATTATATATATTAATATATAACTTTATATCTATCTTTATACTACTCTAGTAATATTTTTAATCTAATAATTTAATTATTTTATTAAATTTAAAATATTTTATTAAGAAGTTATTATAATAAAGTCTTAATAGCTCTTCGCGAATAAAAACCTCTTTAAAGATATATAATATATTCTTATACTTTAATAATCCTTAACTATCTATTATTTAAACTTTAATTTTAGATTATATAATATAAATAAATACTCTTCGCTAATAATACGCTTTATATTCTTATAACTTTTAATTTATCTATATATTATTCTTATTATAATAAAAATAGAACTTATTAAACTCTCTATTATTAATAGCTTCTACTATAATATAAATAAAAATTAATTTAATAATTTATTTATATCTTTATAATTAGAGCGTTTAAATAGTAAATTAATTAGATTTATTTTATTATATCT